CGTCTGTTAGCATATTTTCACAAACATTTTCAAGGGTGTTAGCACTCATCTAGAATCTAAATGCATATACAATGAGTTAGAACATCTAGTGGTACTTTGATAACCGCATTTCGATACGAGTTTCACCCCTCTTAATAGTACGGCTATCGATCCTAAATGTGATCACACCCACTAGGTGTCTTGACCACCAAAATAAAATGGCTTCTATCACTTATACCTTTGTCTTGAGCCTTTTGTTTTTCTCTTTCTTCTTTTCCAAGCCGAGCACTTGATCACCATGGTCACCACACCATCACCATGATCCTCTCTATTGCTCCACCACTTAGAATGTGCTACCTATCTCATGATCACTTAGATAAACTAGGTTAGCACTTAGGGTTTCATCAATTTACCAAAAACCAAACTAGAGCTTTTAGACTCCCAGTCCCACCTCTCTCCTGTACTGTCAATGGACCAGCCTCTAAAAAGAAAAATTCTCCACTCGGGCCGTGGTGTCCTCCTCAGCTGCTCTAAGCCCTCACCGCACTGCACCTTCGGCTGACCCTACCGCCGCAAGGTCCCGCAACAAGGCGCTCTCTCTTCCCCACTCCCTCCCTAGCATGAAGCGCCTGCTCCCACATCTCTCCCACGTGGTTGGCCCTTCCTACGAGGCACCCGGTCCCTTCCCACGCTGCTCCGCGTGCCCGCGCCGCACCATCATCTAGCGCCGCGCCCCATCCACCTCGCCCATCGCAGAAGGGGAGGCAGGGGAGACCTACGCCTGTGCCTGGGGAGGCCTACGCCTTCGCCTATGCCCCCATCCACCTCGCGTCATCGGCAGGAAGGGGAGGCCTGCACCACCGCAGTCCCCAGCAGGTAGGTCGTGCTCGCCCGCAATGTTGTGTTTTTCAAGTGTTTTCAAGCATTGCAAGCCTATGTTTCAAGTGTTTTCGTTGTTTCACATGTATGTTTCAAGTGTTTCATACGGATGTTGCTAAAGTGGATCGGGATGCTGCACATGGCTATACACATATGTTTTAAGTGTATGTTCCAAGTGTTTCATCTGTTCGAGACAAATGTTGCAAGTGTTTTATCTGCATGTTGCAGAGTTGATTTGGATGTTGCATATAGATGCATGTTGCAAGCATATGTTTCAAGTATTTTCTATGTGTTTCATACGTATGTTTGCAAGTGTTTCATCTAGATGTTGCATATGTGTTGCAATGGTTTTCAAATGTTTTTCACGGCTTTTCGCAACTGTTTCAGATGCTTGTTTCAAGCGCTTCATCTATCTTGTTTTGTATGTTGCCACTATTGCATCTAGATGTTTCAAAAAAAGATTAGGGTGTTGCACATGGGATGCGCGTGGGAAGTGGTCGGCGGCGTGGGCAACGTCTGTAGCAGCGCGGGCGGCGTCCGGGGCGATACGGGCCCACTGCTGGTGTGCTCGCTTGTTCTCTGTGTGGGCAGCGTTCGTACGCCGCTAAGCGCTCGGATCGGACGTCCGGGCGCTAGCAAGTCTCGTTAGAAAAGGGAAAATCTATTTTACTAATAGAACAAATCACTTTATCCTGAATCGAGATTGCTGGGGTAGCAGGGAAAAAAGAGAACATGAAGGAGACTTTGTTTGAAGAACTTTGTCTCTCGGAATCGCAAAACTGGCATTTACTGTAGGGTTTGAAGAGGTTGTAGGAGTTGGTCTAACTAGATGATACCCGCGCGTTGATACGGGGATTTTGTAGCGCTTTACATGATCACATTGTGATTGTAGCTCCAAATATTAATGGAAAACAGTAATCCATCTTCAGTAAAGGCTAACAAAAAGCCTATCAATCAAATACATATCAGATGATAAAGAAAATACACATATCTGGTATAGTGGTATATGACAAAACAGGAAGACATCTAACTACTTAGGTGCAACTTGTAAAACATATTATTAGTTTCTCAGGTACTGTCTTGATCTCCAAATGACCATAATTATTGTTGAATTTTTTGTCAATAAAAATATACACAGATAGATAACATACCAAGGCATCAGTTGTGGGACCCACCTCCAAGGAAATCACCACACGTCAAAATGATCTTTCATAAAAAAAAGCTGCTGCCCCTATTTCCATCTCAGCTAAAAAAGCAGCCGCCCCTATTAAAAAAAAAGAGCCACGACATTACATATATCAAAATAAAAAGAAAATAATTAGCCATGACATTACCTCACGCATACGTGACGGGCTGACGGCGCGGACGCGTGGATGCCCTCTCACCCACCCATTCGTCTTAGCTCTGCTCAGATCTGGATGTTGCCTCGTCGCGTTGATGGTTGGCGGATAAGATTCCTTTCTTGAGCTCAGACCTCACTCCTCGGTGGACGATTCGTAAAAATGGGATTGGAAAGTAGATTTGACATTGTATATATATATATATATATAGATATATTCACTTGTCATCCACCCGAGTTTATAATAAGTGAGTCAATCTTTTGAGTTTTATTTTTGTAATTTTTTTGACGTCAGGCGAACGGCCGGCCGCCGGGGCTGGTGACAGAGGCTCTACCGTCGGCAAGGGAGGCGAGCGAGCGTGGTGAGGGAGCCGTCCCGGGCATCACACGGGCAAATGGACGGGGCGATGCAGCGCCACCGAGCAGAGCGGAGCGGAGCCCAGCAGAGGTGATGTTGAGCCTCCGACGTCCATCTTCTCCTTCTGTATGGCGGAGGCGGCGCGACGCTGTGCGGCCCTGCCGAGCGGGGCAGGGCATGGTCTAGGGGAGCGGGGTGGCCTTAGCATATTTTCCATTGCATGCGTTTGCGGTGGCTGTTCGATGCATTTGCTATGGTAGAGAAATCGACGGTGCCAGTCGCGGAGCTATACCAAATTTGAGGGTGTGCATTTGCCTTCGTGGGTGTAAGAGTTTGCCATGTGTAGGTGCATATATGGTGAAAATTTGAGGTTTTCCACTGCTTTTCTTTTTTTTTTTGTGTGGTCACACCCACTTTATATTATGTTCGCTTGAGTGATAAGCTATGGTTGAAAATAAATACTGTTCGTTAGTTGAAAAAATATAGCTTATAAGCTAAGCGAACAGACCTAAGCTGAATATAGCTCCGTCCATGAACGGTGCGTTTGAGAGGTTGAAAACTTCCCTGGAGTGCAAGAGACATGCGTGCCTCTGGTGGACTCGGAGGCCAAAGGACCAAGGCACGCGAAGAGGCGACGAAGGCAGATAGAACAGTCTCCGGCAGGCCTACGGATGAAATGATGACGTGGCTGCAGGAGAATGCAGGAAAATCAGGTAGTGATCCTAGCTATAGAAGATAGCCCCGGTTCTATCGTTGAGCGGTGGGAAGAAGCAACTACTAATAATACGTCAAAGGAACAACGATGGTCTTCCAATGGTGTCGTAATAATCAATTATGGACCGAGCGCCCGGCAACCCAGGGCCGCCTCCCGGTCACGGTATCTAGTTTACTATAAAAATTATTGTGTAGCCTATGTACTTAAGAGATTAGATCTTATCTATTTCTTAGCCATTAAACTGTTCGGGTTTATAAAAAGCTCTAGATCTGCTACCGGTCATAATCTACGTTACGTGGCTCGTCTAATAAGGTTGTAGCACGGCCAAGAGAAGGCATTGAGCAAAGGAGGTGTCAGTAAAACTGAGTTGTATGCTTTGTTTTGTTTAGGCACCTTTTATGCTGTTTATATATTTGGACCATTTGTTTCTCTTCTTCTACCTTAAATGAATAGCAGAGCACGTCTCTCTCTCTCTCTCTCTCTCTCTCTCTCTCTCTCTCTCTCTAAAAAAAACAGCAATGATGCTTTAACAGAACAGCTACGGGGTCCTACCTGAATCGGCAACTCCTGTGTGTAACACCCCAACTTTTTTCCTTAATTTTAATGAACAATCATGAGGCTAATAGTCATTAATTAACGAAAAGCTAAAACAAGCAGTTTAGTTTTTTCCATCTCATGATACTGACCAATCAACCAGATCAGTATAATTGTATAAAGATTATATGAATCACGTTCTTGACTATGTTAACAACAAACAAATACGTTACAAGCATATAATAAAAAGAAACTTCTTAGTGTATGGAAAGCAGCACGTATAAATACACTTGTTATAATACTGTGTGAGCGTGCCTGCTACTGTTAGTGCTAGTAACATTTGATTGTTCAGGCATTAGTACTAGTAATATTGCAAGTCTGCAGCTTTAGTCTATTAGGCCCTGGTGCTTTGGTATATACTCCCGGGACATCATTTGATCATTACTTTGAAACAAAAGGTGTTACTTGTGGCAGCAATTGTAGTGGTACTCACAAGTTTGTTATTACTAAGTGAAGACGTTGTAAAGTAGCAGGTAGTGATTATCTGTTTAATTGTGGCGCAGAGAAGGATCCCAATTCCCAACCAATCTAATACTAAGCAGCTTTTTTTTGAAAGACTAAAACAAAGAAGTTGCCTACTTGCTCCATGCAAATAGAACAGATCATGCATATGAAAATATAAATGGTCATTGGTAAATAGACGTATATATATCTGACAAATGATAGCCTCACTGAAATCTTCAGTCGGGCTGGGCCAGAATATCCAAATAGTCCCATCATTTTCGGCCAAGGATGGATTGGGAGACATACAGATGTTAATTGCAACCACTCTCCATATATTCAGAAAGTATACGAAAATGAATTCAGATTACTATATTACTATACAGACAGATAAAAGTCTCACAAAACAAGAAGATCCTCCTATGTCCTCTAATGAATTATCTTTTTTTTCCTTATTATTTTTCTGCTAACTAGACATGAAGTTTACATCATATATTGAGCCTATACAGATTTCGTGTTGTTATTCAGAGCTAGAGATCTTACTAAACTGCCTGTTTTACTCTATGCAAGGATTCCAAAATCCTTGGTCTGACTTATATAAGCTTTCCTTTGATCAATTCATGTAGATTTTTATCCTATGCAACTTGACGTCTGACTACAACACTTCATGTACAAGAACAAGTCCACACTTGCCTTTATTGTTGCATCGTATGCTCCTGTTTCAGCAAAATCTGTGCGTAGAGAAGCTCGTTCCAGGAGTCCGGTACTCCAGGAAGGCACCAGTGGCTGCAGTCCTGGTATAGCTCAGGCGATTTTCTCTCCTCTTCAGTCAACTTCTGCTTGCGATAGACTGAAGGATGGGCCTCCTTCCTGTAGTCAGTCATCCTTGTTATGTTCAGGTACACAACGGGTGTTTTCATCCCATGGAGCACCTCCTCCAAAATGCTCATCTTTGTTGGGTATGGCGTGAGGTACTGGTCATTCATTATTGGCTCTGTTTCCTTGTCACAACTGCCGCCTGAATTCCATTGACCCCCACTGCATAACAGAAACAGTTAGTGAACATCAGTAACTCATAGAGCACATCATGCTGAACTTGCAGAGGTTCAGAAATAGCTTTGCATACCTGAAATGGGATGCTGAGTAGCCTCTGAAAAACACAGTAGTTTTCTTGGGGTTTACATTGGAATCAACCCACTTGGCCCAGGTGTTGAGAGCTCTCCGAAAGGCATCATGGACATCCAGCTCACTGTACACGCGGTTGCCCTCTTGGTAGTAATCTTTCCTGTGGCGCATTTCAAAACAATCAGAACAGTAAAGGGCAAATGAAATGCAGGATGTATGAACTGCAGATCTTCAGTGAATCAGGCAGGGCACTGTTTTGCTCACCCTAGAGAAGTTTTGTCATGCGTCCACCAGTGACCAGTATTGAAGATAATGATATCTGCGTTCTTGTACCTCGGAAACGCTGAATCGATAATGTCAAGCCTGAGAGTTTCCCGGGTACCCTTTCCATTGCTGATTGGCATCTCCCATTCCTGAACAAGGAAAGGGGAGCGGAAGAACTCCACACTGCAATTGTAGTCCTATAAAACAACAGCATGTTTGTGCATAAGAGTTTGTTCTAGTTGATGAAACTAGCAGAGAGCGCTACAGACCACAGATAGCAAAAATTGGAATAAGGCATATCTACCTGGAACAAGAAAGAGTAGGAGCCCTCAGCCCTGAATTGGCTCCTGCCGGATACCTCAAAAACCTTACTCTTGTCTTTGACAGAATTCCTCAAGATACAAATCAGAGATTCCCACATGTTCCTGTTGAGCGAATCACCGACAAACACCAGCCTCTTCCCCCTCAGCCTCTCCAACATATCAGTTGGGTTCAACCTAACATAAGCAACACAGAACTAACTTTCAAAAAAAGCAACACAGAACTAACTTTCTAAAAAAAGCAACACAGAACTGTATCTATCACACGCCAGTAACTAACTATTGAATTCACCAAAACCACGCAATTATTGAAGTAAACTTTTCTCACCTTGGGATTCTGCACCCGCTGGGTTGCCACCGGAGCCTCTCGTAAGCTTTGTCAGGCCGGCCGTTGAGGTGGCAGTTGAAGGACTCATCGACGTGAGGGCATGATCCCGAAGGATACAGAGGATACGAGTCATCTCGGACCCAATTCCCGTAGAACATGTCGCAGCTGGCCATGTTCTCAATCCAATCAACCTTCATGCGCCGACCGGCATTAGCATCTGCTTTCATCGGCACAGCACTGTTGTTACTGGCTGTTGGGGTGGCCCCTCGTGCAGACTGATCTTTAACCGGACTAGTGCTCCCCTGAGGACTAGCAGTTGATTCATTCTTCTTATTGGCTGGACTACTATTGCTTCCATCTGAAGCAGCTGAACTCTGGTTCTTGTTACCTGCAGGAACCTGAATTAGGACGGTCTGGTTGTTGCCTGCAGCTGCTCTTCCATTGCCGTCCATGGCCGCTGCAACTGCACTCGCAGTCTGATTAATGAATGCAACAGCGGTACCGTTGCCTAATAAAGCTGCAGTTCCGCTTCCCAATTGGTGCGTGGAGCCGGCAGCATTCCTTGCACTTGCTCTAATCCCGTTGCCATCTCCGGCATCCACGGAACTCGCGCTCGTGTCGTCGGAGCCGTTGATCCGAACAGGCACGCCTCCTTTCGCCGATGTGCCATTCTGGGCTGAACCACCGCTCGGGAGTGCAGGATGAGGCCCACCCTTCGCCTCGGCAGCGGCACTCCCGGCGGAATGTTTGGCTTCGGCACCGCCTTGCACATGATCATCGGGCGGCGCGCCGCTCGGCACCGCCGCAGTAGCATCCCCAGGAACCGGCGCTTCCTTGCCACTGGGAGCTTCGCCTGCGCCTACGCTGCTGGTCGGAACTCCACCTCCGCTTCCCAATTGCTCCTCGCCGGGCCGAGCCGCGCTGGAGCCATTGCCTCGGGAACCGCTCGCCGCGAACCCACCGCCGCTCGGCCCGGCACGCCTCGCCGCGACGCCACCAGGAGGCACCGTGGAGGTGGAGTTGGCGGGGAACAGGGAAGAGAAGAAGCCCGAGACCTGCGTGCGGTACGGAGACGCGGAGGCGATCAGGCCGTCGAACCACGCCGCGGCTGGCGACGAGGCTGGCGGCACGGGGAGGGTGGGCGCGAAGGCGAGGAAGACCGAGAACCCGGCGAAGGTGAGCGCGAGGCCGTAGAGGCAGAGCCTGACGGGCCGCGCGCGCCAGAGGAGCCCTGCTCCGCCGAGGTGATCGGCCACGGCCGCCACGCCGCTCTGCTTCCACGCGCCCTTCATCCGGTGGCGTGCGAAGGCGGGCGAGCGGGCGCTGCGGGAGTTTGTTAGGGTTTATTAGAGAAGGCGAGGCGGCACGCGGCAGGGCAGAGGAGGCGCAGGCGGTGCCGGCCGGTGTGGGAAGAAGCGAGGAGGGCGAGACCGCCGTGGCCGTGCTGGGGAGCGATCGATCTGTTACTGTAAAGGCTTTTGTAGGAGGCAGTTGAGGCGGCGTCGGCGTGATGCTTGTTGGAAGTAAAACTAACAACCTAGGAGTATGTGATTTGTTGTTTTACTTTTAAAAAAAATCATAGGCCCTGTTTGATTCCTGTAGATAGTGTTAATAATTATCTATTGAGAATCCAATCAGGTATAGATAATGAATCAGATAATTGCTAACAACTATCCCACTGGCTGAACAAAATCAGATAATAGCTAAACAGGCCCTTAGTTTGGTTTTAATAGACTTCCATGGATAGGTGGTAGAGCCGTAGAGCCGACATGGTGGAACCAAATAATTTGATCTTTTTCGTAATATCTCTTAGTTTGGTTTTACGGGTCTTATGTACGAAGGTGGTGGAGGTTCTTTGGTATGAATTACCAGTGAAACTACTTCCTCCGTCTCAAAAAAAAAAGTGTGGCTATAGGTTCGTGTGAGTTAGAATTATAAAATATATTTAATAAAATTTGTATTTTCGAAGAAGGTTATTATGAAAATATGTTTAACGATTCATATAATATAATGATATTAATTATACATTATTAATATAAATATTTTTTATATCTATTAGATTAGAGTTGAAAATATTTGATTTCATGACATGGCACATGCACACAGTATCGCCGTACCGGCACGACACGGATAAGAGTTGTAGTGTCGTGTCTGGGCTAAGATGTCAGCATGACGGCACTACACAACGCGGCACGGATAAGACATCGTGCTTAGGCCCTGTTTGAATCATATGGATTTTAAGAATTCAGATAGAAAAACTTTTGAATCATCGGGAGGGATTTTAGCTCACAAATTTTTAGAATCTCGAGGTCCAATAATATTGTTGGGATTTTTTTATCATATTCTCGGAATCGCATAGGATTGAACCGCCATCTTAATAATATCGTGTCTAATGTTCCGCCCTTTTGACCATCTATATCACTGTCTGCCTTTGTCCTGTTCGTTTGGCTTATAAGCCGTATTTTTTCAGCCAACGAATAGTATTTTTTCTCACAGCAAATCATCCACATTACTTCTAGACCTTTTCAGCCACCATCCAAACAGCAAGTGCTCGTTGATTGTTTGACCGGTACACGTCAGTACTCCCCCGTAAGCAGTGCGACCTTGCTAGCTTCCAGGTCCGTACATCCGGTGGCCTTGTGACTGCTAACTGCTTGGCGTCGTTGCATTCCCATTCCGACACACGCCGTTGCGTACTATTTGCCATTCTGAGACCCAACAGTCAACAGAACAGCCGCAGGCCCGCAGCCCGTAGCATGCATGCATGGTTGTGCTGCGCTTGTTTTTGCTAGCCTCTCCTAGGGTACAACAAGGCCACGTCACTTAGCTTATAGCCAAGACATATCAGCATAATCCTAGTTAGAAGAGAGAGAAAGAGAAGAAAACACTCAGCTTGGCGCAACATGCAGCGTCGAGCGCTTGCACAGTTGCCCAGACCGGTCGTTCCCGCCACTAGCGCGTGCTCCCATCAACCTCGCGAGCTAGTACGCCGTGTCGCCGTCTGCCGGGCAGTCCAGCTTTCGCACCCTCGCTCGCCTGCCACTCGCCGGCCACCGTCGCCCGAGCGCCGCCCTCCGCTAACCGCGGACGGCCTGAGCTCGCCGCTGCCGGAGATCCCCCGCTACCGCGACCTCTGTTCGCCGACCCGCTAGACCTCCACCTCGCCGGCCCCCCTGTCCTGGCCTCGTCCGCGCCGCGCGCGCTTGCCGCAGCCGCGAGCTCGCCTCCGACGTGTCCGCGCGCGCTCGCCGCAGCCACGTGTCCGCCGCTCGCCCCCGCGCGCTCGCCGCAGACGCGCCGTCGCTGCGTGCTGCCTGGGCGCGCCACTGCCGCTCGCGCCGCGTGCTCGGCCAAGATGGGTAGCGGCGACGACCTGAAAGAATGTGGATGCGGTGAGAAGACAAGGGGAAGGGAATAGTTAGAGGCCCCACACAAACAAAAAATTATATTTAGAATAGGAGAAAAGACCACCTTATTGTATGATTTGTCTAATAGCATTAGTCTATTGCTGATGTGGCTTGGCTTAATTATAGTCAAGCTTATTGGCCTTGCTCTAGAGAAACAACTGGTTGACTCCATCTGCCAAAGCAATGCTTGCCCCGTGACTTTGCCTGTACACGTCGAGCAAGGGCTGTCTGTTTTTTTTGTTGGTCATTATACTACCTTGTCCAGTGAAAAATCAAAGAAGAACAAATGATTAATAATCTCTGATGAGCTTGCCTCGTACCTTATGTGGGTAAGAATTTAGCCTCCGGTGTGAGAGCAAATTTCGCTCCTCCGCGCTGGCACCCCTTGCTCAGCGACTAGGCCCTGCGAGGTAAGGCATCCTGTAACCAAACAGCCCCAACCAGGGGGGTAGCTAGGATCTAGAACATTTTTTTGAAAAAACTGCTAGGATCTAGAGCATGTGGGTGGTCCATCTTAGATGTAAAACCAAATTATAGGGTGATTACAGTTTTCATGATTTTAGAGAGCTATCTATTATAGTTTAACCTTGAACTAAATTTTAGGGTGGTCCATGGACCACATGTGCACCTAGGTAGCTCCGCATATATATGGCCCCAACTAGCTAGGTGAAACGGAAAGACCAGGGATATGAGGTTTATGTGTTTGGTCTGAATCTGAACTGATCTGCCGTAGCTGGTTTCTTTTAGCATAATTATATACAAAGCTAGTTACTTCAGTGATTCATGCAGAGAGGAAATAATAATCTCTACTATAATTGAAAGCTCGAGACTCATCACGGAGGCTTCAACGCTCAAATCAGGCTTCAACACGCGCGGCACCGCAAGGCTTCAACGCGCGTCTACTGTGGAACCACCCACGATTGAACCCTCCTGTCACCGAAAAAAATGAAGAAAAAAAAATGCGTCGAGGACGCCGCTGACGCCGCTAACCAGGCCGCTATCGCCGGCCGAGGAACCCTGCTGGGCACTCACGGCTACTGCCGCCGTCTCCCTCCTCGCGCTCCTCCTCCCCCACATCCTGCCTCCCTCCTCCTCTCCCGCCTCTCCTCCGCGGACACCTCGCCGCAAGCCACGTCCTCAAGCTCGATCCTGCCCCCGGCCTCTTCGCCGTGACCTCCCGCCCCATCGACAGCAGCGGCGGCAGCGGCGGGGGCTCCCCCGCACACCGCATTCGCGTCCGCGTCCTCGTCCTCCCGGGCCTCGCCGCGGGGTCCTTGTCCTTCCGCCGCGTCCTCTCGTCGCTCTCCTCCCGCGGCGTCCACGCCACGGCGCTCGACCTCCCCAGCCAGGGCCTCTCCCCGGCGCACCCCCGCCGCGCCCGCGCCCGCGCCCTCCCGGACCAGCGTGCTCCGGGCGATCATGGACCGCGGCATCGTCCACACCTTCGAGCACCTCGTGCAGACCGGCGAGGTCCCGTACCAGGAGGAGGCGCCGCCCCGAGGTCTCCGCACGCGCCCGACGAGGCGGCCGCGGCCGTCACGTGCGCCGCGGAGGCGCTCGGCCTCGGCGTGGCACCCGTCCACCTCGTGCTCCACGACACCGCGCTCGCGGCCGGGGCCGCGTTCGCGTCGGCGCACCGGGGGCCGTGCGGAGCGTGACGCTGGTCGACGCCGCCGCGTCCCTGCCGGCGTTCCCGGCCGCGGTCTTCGACGTGCCCGTGCTGGGGAGGCTTGTGCTGCGGGTGCCGGCGCTGTTCCGCGGCCTGCTGCTGCTATGCTGCGCCCGGGGGGTTGGCGCCGAGGAGGCAGAGGCGTACCGGGCAGCGATGTGGGGGGAGGGGAAGGTTGAGGGGGTGGTTGAGGCATGGAAGGCGATGAACCACAGCTTTCGGCTTGGGGAGTGGAGGGGTTCTTCGGAGGAGGTGAGGAGGCTACCGATGCTGGTGCTGTGGTCGGGTTCTTGGTCAGACATGTGGATCGATGAGGGGAAGAAAGTGGCGGCTGCATTGCCTGACGCCAAATTTGTCTACCATTCCGGAGGCCGATGACCTCAGGTCAGTGTGGTGATTTAAATTTACTTGATAATTTCGTCTTATTCCTTATGGAGAGAGTGAGCTTAGTTGGAATTGAGCTTGAACAAAATGTTATACTGCAAATAAATTTCCTAAATTTTGGAGATGGTCAACATTGGGCATGCCACAACTTTTCCAGCTTGTTATGAATTTGTCAGTGAAATTTCTTTTATTTTATTTGCTTACTCACTACCAAATGTCCCTGTATTTCTGTTTTGCCAGATATGGGAATTTGAATATAGTTGATTTCTTCTTAGTTTTTCATGGTACATAAATTTTATCAAAATCCACATAATACCATCGTTAGCACATTCAGAACTTTCTACTTGTGCCTTGCTTATAGGTAACTTACCACCCACTGGATGTTCTCCGGCTCAGGCTAGCAGTTCAATCTGGACACATCATTTTATCTCAGGTAACCACTCTTGTAAGTGCAAATTTTTTTTTTTTGGAAACTGGCACAGCCTGATAACTTTTTAGGTGGCTCTTAACATGCTGAGAGAAGAAGGGCTGGCCTCCTTCTATGGAGGCTTGGGTCCATCTCTTATAGCAATTGCACCCTTATGTTGTTGTGAACTTCTGTGTTTTTGACCTGTGAGATTCCGTCTACTGCATATGAATACTACGATACATGAAAGCTCCACATAAATTTAAATATTTACATCACATTTTTTTAACATTTCATTCTTTTTTGATGTACAAGAATGAAGGAATCTGTCCCAGAGAAGTACAAGAATAGACGAGAAACGTCTTTAGCAACTGCTCTTCTTTCAGCAACATTTGCAACTTTGATGTGTTATCCCCTGGACACTGTTAGGAGCCAGATGCAGATGAAAGGCACACCACACAATACAGTTTCTGATGCTATTCCAGGTAGTTATGCTAGCATTGCATGAGCTAATGGCTGAACCCATTTTTAAGTCTGTTTCAACGCTATGCAGGCATTGTGGAGCGTGATGGTCTAGCCGATATCGCCGTAGCGTTAGCACGGGCAACATACCCCCATTCTATTTTAAAAATTCCTTATTCTTAGCTGATTCCTTTGAACTCTATACCCCAGTCAGCAACACTCAAATTACTATTTTTAGATTCTTGCAAGTGTTGATAGCATCTCAATGGATAGATGAGTAACATTTAGAGAGGGACATTTTGGTGTTAACAGCGCCCCTACATAACACAATAGTTTTCCTTTCACACAGTTTCTTGATTGACTCTTCTTTGTATTTTACTTTATCTCATCTTTAGGTACAGCATGATGATTGTACTACAGCTTTTTCCAAGAGTCACACTATGATATCCTGAATCTATGCATATTCGTGCTACTTCAAGTTTGCAAAAGAACTGGGATTTGTGATGACACATCCCCTATTATATTGTTCTAATTTGTTGTACTCTCCCATGCAGTTAATGTCCTCAATACACTCTTCACCAGTCTGAATTCTCCTAGCCAGGTTGGTAGGCGAATGGCGGTGATCCTTGTGGCCAGTCATGGCAGGGCATTACTTGCTTAGGATCAGGGGTCACTAAAATGTGAGCCTTGTGATGCAGTATAGTTGCAGGCATCTAATATAATGAAGAGATCTCTCCTTTAATTCTCTTAGTGGTGATCTACCATAAAGTTTTAAGAAACATCGTCGTTTGGTGTTTTGATGTGTATCTCTGAAATGTCGCCGTGGCGTTAGCACGGGCACTATACTAGTACGATAGTTGGTAGCCATTTCTATGCAGCTGCACCATCCGCACAAGCCGAAACCTCTAAGACAGGTTGCAAAATCTGATCGAAGGAGGCAACTAGATCTGCATTACCGCCTAACTAGAAAGTATATAGAGCACTGGCCACTGCATTTTATAACTGTATAATATAATGTCCAGGCGTAGGTGTTACCGAAAGAAATTAGGGTAAACGTACTAGATGGGTTGACTGATGATCCGATTCAAATGATACATGCCGACTCCATAATCCACATTAGACACTACTACTGCTAATAACTAATCGACACGGCAAAAAAGAGGGAGAAAGATTCCGGCCAAAAGTGCAGGAGATGCCGTGATGGATCGCCAAATAGTGAAGGTGAGCCTAACACATTTCAGAGCGATGGAGCTACAGGGAAGGAACTGCATGTAAACACTAGCATGAAAGAAGACACGGTGTGGTGATTGTGAACATGGCTCTGAAAAGTAGGGAGATGGTAATAAGAGAGAGGGGTGGGTTAGGTCTCAGCTCACTTGTTGGCTCACAGAATCCCATCGTGTCGACGCTGCACTCGCAACTCCCCTCTTTGTTGCTTTGGTAAACGACCACCCTGTTCTCTGCTCCTTTTGACTTATCATGTTTGCCACGAAGGCCAGGCCGCATGAGAAAAGGTCCACTAGCAGATGGGTGAGGTTGGTCATCAATCATCACTACGGTGCCTGGCACTCTGGCAATTATCTGGAGATCTTGAAAGCAATAACGGGCATGTTAAGTTTCCTCATGGAAAAAGATGTACCCCTCCATCCCAAATATATAATTCTAGATTTAGGACAAATCAAACATTCCTAAGTTTGACGACTAAATTCATAAAAAAAATTATGAATATTTATATCTCAAATAAATTACTAAATCTAATCTAATCTAATGGCATTTATTTGATATCATAAATATATCAATGTATTTTTGTAGAATTGATTGATTAAGTTTGAAATTGTATGGTTCATGAGAAAGTGAGAATTGTATATATATATTTTTTTTTGTGATGACGGAGGGAGGAGACGGCAGACTTGTTGGAACCACTCTCTCCATGAAAAGTGGGGCCCACACGCTTCAGTGTGGAGATAGACAGGACCGTACCGTACCTTAGCATCATCATGAACACTACGATCCTTTCTTTTTGAACCAAAATCATTTCGTTGTACCCCCATGATCTTCTTGAAAAGGTATTACGCGTCACCATATCTACTTCTACTTATAAATAAATTAATCTCCGGTATGATATGAATATGACCTACGTACAGATGTAGGTATTGGCGCCATGAGTACAAGGTAATGATGAGAACCAGCTGCATTTTCCGCCCAAAGATCCGGATGGATGAGACATGAAAGCTGTGAAGTACTCGAAAGATCCATGGAGTACGCCTTAAGCAAGGGCGTGTAGCTTTAATTTGGAGCTTTTATCTTGCTACTACCGTGGGGTGGGACCACAAGGCGTACAAAAGGCGAGGAGCGAAACATGCATGCTGGGTGCTCGGGAAAGCCATGCAGGCTGCATGCAAGTGCAGCGATGCAAGTATGCAAGGACTCACTTGAGGTCGTACACACTACACAGGACACGGCTGAAGAAAAAGAAAAAAAAAAGGTTAAAACGAACACCTCGTGCCGTCATGGGCCCTCACCAACGGTGCCAAGGACTGCCGTGAGTTTTTTTTTCTTTTTTGAGAAAGGAAAAAATCCAACTTACCTCCCTCAACCTCTGTGAAAGTCTGCTTTTCCTTTCTGAACCCTAAAACCAGATAAACCACCTTCCTAAACCCTAATACCGTTCGTTTTACCTCCTTGGCCGGTTATAAGCGGTTTTCAAAAGCAGTTTTGTCTTTTTTTTATTTGTTTCGGCTGAATTTTTGAAAAATCATAGTAAATCATAGAAAAATTATAAAATACAAAGTCTAATTTTGTTGGACTCCACATAAGTAGATCTACATAATAAATATATAATATGATATGCTTTAATACAAATTTTTTGTTGTAGATTTAGATCTATACTTTTCTGTAATTAATTCATAGCTACAGTTCTCTAGTTCAATTGTGGTGAAATTTTTATGATGGGCTAACTATTGTATGCTTGAACTGTAGTAAAAATTGCATACTCATTAGATCATGTATAACTTAAAAGTATGCAAAGTTATACATGATCCAATGAGTATGCAATTTTTACTACAGTTCAAGGATACAATAATTAGCACACCATAAAAAGTTCACCATAATTAGATCATAGAAACTGCAGTTATGAATTAATTACAGAAAAACATAGACCTAAAGCTACAGCAAAAAATTTATACTAAAGCATACTATATTATATGTTCACTGTGTAGATCTACTCATGTGGAGTCCAACAAAATTGCAGTTTCTATTTTATGATTTTACTATGATTTTTCAAAGATTCATCCAAAATAAATAAAAAAGAAAAAGACAAAACTACCTTTAAAAACAGCTTATAACCGATCAGGGAGGTAAAATAAATGGTTTTAAAAGTCTAGGGAGGTGGTTTACCCGGTTTTAGAGTTAGGAAGAAAAATAAGACTTTCTTAAAAATTGAGGATGTAATGTAGACTTTTTCTTTTGAGAAATACTGCCGTAAGTGGAAGGGTTGAGAGCACGAGGAACTGAGGCTGAATTTAACAAACGGGCCGGGACGACGAGCTATCACGCTTCGTGCGCTTGCCGCTGGGTCTAGCACTCTTGCCGGCCCACCCGGCCGTCCGGAGTAATCATTTATTCATTTCCACCTCTTTAATCTTTTCAACGATCCTTCACTCCTGCATGCACAGAGACAGACTAGACGAAAAATATTCGGTCCTCAAATGCGCGAAATTTTTCATTCTCTATTTTCTGCATGTTTTTTAAAATAAATTGATTCCTGTAAAATTCTTACTTTTCAAATAGGCTTATACCCTCTAACTCACGACCGCGCCGGAGATAATGGCGGAGATGGCACCCCTAAAACAAAATGCTCATCGATGTTAGGGTTCGGGGATTTGGGGGTTTACGGTTGAAGGTTTCCGAGAGGAAGGGGGTTTCCATGGTTTCAGACCTTAGGATTTTTTGAGGGGGTCACTAGAGTAGTGGAGGTGGTAGCCAGGGGCGAGACCCAAAAACTGTTCGAACAAGTTTCACAAAAACCTAAAAAAAATGCCAGCCAGCCCAATAGCCCACTTTGACGCAAGGAAAGCCCAGCAGGCTCTGATCCTAGCCTGGCCGCAAGCACAAGTGCGCAAGCGCATAATGTTAATCTTGTTTTTTTTAAAAAAAACTATCATTTTAAAAAAATATGTAATGAATTGAGGATGTTGGTACAACTGGTGTGAAATCATAAAGACATACTCCATACTAAAAAATAAAGTCGTTTTGGACAAGGCTTGGGTCAAACATTGGAAATATAAATCACGAATAACTTTTAAGTTGTTGAGTTTAGAAATATAAAAACCATATGTATAGATTTGTCTTGAAAAATACTTTCACAAAAATTTACATATATCACTTTTTGATAAATATCTTTATAAAAATAAGTAGTCAAAGTTATACTTTGGAGACCATGTCGCTATCCAAAACGACTTCATTTTTTAGTATGGAGGGAGTATATGGTTTTTTTTTTCTTATAAGACTTTTCATTTGGTATTTTTCTAGCCTCAGTGTTCTAGCGTATTGCTTGAACCTATTATTTGAGCTCTTTGAATCAATATATTTATTTATCTTCTTTGAAACTATGTTATATCTAATAGTCTATGGCTAGTGAGATTTGTAGCCTTATATTAGTTAGCTCGGGGCGCAGTCCGTTTCTAGATCCGCCACTAGTGGCAGCGGTCGAGATTGTGACAGGGCGGGGCAGTGAGGGCATTGTTTACAATGTGATGAGAGAGGCCGGTTGACTCGTGCCGATGGCGGGGCCATCTATCGGAGAGGGATACGATGACTTGGATTTAGTGCCCCGATGGTGGGCAGCCACATTGGTGGAGGCGATGGATCATCGTCAAGGCCAACCGGAGGCGTAGGAAGTAGGGGCACTCAACTTGAAAAAAAAAACCCGCAGGGTGCTAGACCCATGCACCTTATTTCCATCTCTAGCCTGCTTTACTAGTAGGAAGGGAATGATAGAAAGGAGAACTAGATAGGTTGAAAGAAGGATAAGAAACCGACTACCATTCATCTATAAAAGAAAGAGATTTACTAAAATTCAGGTGTCTGAATTTTAGCTTTCTTTCAGACGACGGTTATTGCATATATTTTATATTAAAATTATAGCTTTATTTGTTGTAATTTATGTAGGCATAATCTGTAATTTTTTTATTCTGAGAATAAAAAACCTATTAGACAAAACCACAAACTTGATAAAATCTGATCTATGCTGGTACAAAGACAAATAACAAATCACAACAAATAATAAATCACAAAAGTAACAATTTACTTGTACTAGTTGGTTGTACACGAGTATTGTCTAAAATTATTTTAAAATTTAGACACCTGAAATATAGAAGAAGTGATAAAGAAAAGGTCTCAAGTCCAGAAGCTTGTTCGACAACTATATAGCCGATCAACATCTCCCAGCTTTTTATTAGGATACCATGTATAAACCATATAGCTGATCAAACATGACCTAATGCATAATCATATTGTTTGAAGCGGTCTCCGGTCCAGAAACGTGTTCAGACACAGTGCTACAATAGGCCTATTTCCCTGCCCTTGGACACCATCCTACCGCAATATGTTGGAACGGGCCGCAGCCCAATAAACCAAGGAGGATAGGCCCATCGTGCACTTATAAGTTATAACACCGCGCTGAGAAACGATCGACTAAAAAAATCCACATGCAATTAAGCAAAAGATCTCAAGATATTTTACGATCCGCTGGGCCGCCCAGACGCCGACGCCGACGACGCTTTTGCCCCACGCCCGCACCCAACCGGCCACCCGCGGACCCGCCTCCTGCGCGGCTGTTGCCACGGATCTTCGTCACCGGATAAGCCACCCGCTTCCGATTCCACAACTCTCCGCCTCCCGTCGCCACCTCGCGCTCTCCGATCCCGCGCATATTCTCCACCCCGTCCTCTGCTCCGCCACATCACCAACTACTAGGACGCCGCGCCGCAGCCCCATCGTCTCCGAATTCTGATCACCGCCGGAACCGGGTACACGGAAAATCGGAAACCAATGGCGCTCCTCGCGCCGAGCCCGCGCGCGCTCTGCGTGCGGGAGGCCGCGGCGGCGGCGCCGCACCCGCACTCGTCGGTGGGCGCCGCGTGCTCAACGGTCGGCGGCGGGGCGGCCGGGCGGACGCTGTGGCTGTGGAACGGCGGAGGGACGGGGAGGAGGCGGAGGGAGCGCCGGGAGAGGGTCCGGGCGGAGGCATACTTCTGGGACGTGTCGAAGCCGGTGGAGATGGAGGAGATCGACAGCATGGAGAAGCTCGACGACGCGCTAAGGTGGTCCGTCGAGAACAACCAGCCCGTCATCATCGACTGGTACGAGTGCTGTCGCACATGTTGCCCGACCTGCATAGATCACTCAACTTCCATTGACTTGTCTGGTGTGTCTGTGGCCAGTGATTCGGATGTTGATTGTCATTATAGTGGAATCGAGATGATTTTTCGCCTTTATTTATCTGCATGCTTAGATATACTATCATATCTCATCAGAAGTTGAGACGTTGTCTATTGCTTCCAGGATGGCAAGTTGGTGTCGGAAATGCATCTACCTGATGCCCAGAATGGAGAAGATAGCAGGAGAATATCCTGGGTTAGTGTGACTCCACCTCAGCAGAATGTTTTTTTCGGCACAATTTTGAGTTCTGTCATATTGATACCTTAGCAAGTAAACTGATCCTGAGTTCTAAAGACATAGACGTTTCAGATTATGAAATGTGTTGATTTGTTTAAATCATGCTTCACGTTTCTGTTTCAGAGTCAGGTTTTACTTCATTGATGTTAATAAAGTTCCACAAGCGGTGGTGAAAAGAGGAAATGTAACTGTAAGTCGGCAAATTCAGAGATTATTGACAAGATAATAATTAATTCAAAATGAGACTGAGATAATCTGAGTCCTTTGCCTTTCTGTGTGCATACTGCAATTTCCATGGTCTGCACATCTACCTTCAGAAAATGCCCACTATTCAGGTGCCACTGCACTTTCTTCCTTCAATTCATTCCTTTTTTTTTTGAAGAAACCGTCAATTAATTCCTATCCCTATATGATTGGAACTAGAAAAATGTTGATCCTAAACTATGCATTCATATCCAGCTATGGAAGGATGGAGAGTGGAAAGCAGAAGTAATAGGAGGCCACAAAGCTTGGCTTGTGATGGATGAGGTTAGAGAAATGATCCAACAGAACAAGTGACTAAACACCCAAGTTATGCAATGGGTATTGTACTTTGTTTAATTTAATGTAAATAGAGACATCAGACGATCTCTTCATATACTAAGCTGAAATCAAATCAATAAAACCATATTTCAGCTCCTTATCATAGCCGAGCTCGTTAAGACTCTGTTGGGCTTCCATCTGAATCCTGAAACAGTACAATGTTTTGACTCGAACACAGATAGAGCAACCATGTTGGAAATAACCAAATGTTACTGGTCCCTTTGTCCTGAAGTATAAAGATATCTGAACCTTTACAATTTCTCCCAAGTTATAAGGAAATCTATGAGGAGTAACCCCTAGTTCACTTAAAAAAGGGAAGGGCTCACATGCCTACTACTATCACCAACCTAAATACGGTAATCACATCACCCCGAAGCGACTAAGGGAGGTTAAATGCTTCATTTGCTTTATAACATAATGTGCTTCTCCCTCCCTTTCAAATTAAACTATAAGTCATTTTAGTTTTCTCCTAAGCCAAACTTGTCTAATTTTAACCAAGTTTATTGAAAATATATTAACATCTACAATATCAAATAAATACAATATCAAAATACATTTCATGGTGTTTTTAATGAATCTTGTTTGGTTTTTTAGTTATTCGTGCATTTTTATATAAATTGGTCAAAGATAAAGAAGTCTTGTCTTATGACAAAACTAAAACGGCTTACAATTGTAACAACAAAGGGAGTAAAATTCATAGGATATATATATTCTATTTCAGGAATCAGGATGGAGGGAGTATCTTCAATTATCGTCTTTTCTTTCTGTATGTGTCATCTGGTCCATCTTACTATCTTAGCCTCTATCTTCAGAAAATGGCCGATATTGGTCATACTGTATTTTGTTCAGTTCTCTTTGTCTATGTTGGAACTAGAAGAATTTTGATCCCAGCACAAGAAAGTAAGGAGCACATCTATATTCAGTTGTGCAAAGGGTGGAGAATAGAAAGTAGAAAGGAAAGGCATGGCTTGTGAATTTGTGATCCAGAAGAACAAGTGATTAAATACCTGACCCGTGCAATTGGTATAGAGAGATGCATAACAATCTCTTAAGTTATTATGAAGTTGTAATGGTCAATAAGTTAATTTTCACGTCCTTGTCATATCAGAGCTGCTCAAGCCTATACAGTCTTGCAATTTAATTGTTCTTCTGACTCATTTCCAGCAAGAGGCAACAACAACATGTGGTACGTATATTCACAGGAGGAGAAACAGCAAGCATGTTGTTATAAAGAATCAAATAATCCAGTCTTCCCAATTCTGCTCAATCGATATATCTACAAGATTCCATCCATTCTAGTACTACTCTCATTTTTTTTTTCTTGCGATCCATTCTAGTACTACCTACTTACATATAGGAACTCAAATACCATTTCCATCCACAGTAACAAACCAATTACAATCCAGAACGACGGCCAAATAAACTACCTCCACGCTGCCCAGAAGTCGCGGCCATTTCAATCCTCGCGGGCAGCCCTGCGGCGCGACGACGACGCGGCGGGCGACGGCGAAGGCGAGGCCTCGTCGGTGCCGACGGGGACGTCGGAGAGTGGCGCCAGCACGCGCCTGACGCTCATGGAGCGCATGGGGCGGAAGCTGAGGGACCTGAGCCGGCCGCCGTCCTTGGAGAAGACGTCGGAGGAGCTGCGGAGGATGAGGTAGACCAGCCCCTGCACGAGCACGAACACGGCCACCTTGGCGAGCGCGTCGCGGAGCTCCGGCGACAGCGACAGGAACGCCGACCCGTCCATGGCGTGGAGACTGGAGAGATGCGCGCGCGCGCGCGGACGCTGGCAAGGCGGAGAGGGAGATGCGTGTGGATGCGCGGTGTATGGGTGTATGTGAATGTGATCCGTGAGATGATGGTGGGGAGAGATCGGTAGTCCTCGCCTGCTCTCGTCTGCTTTATATAGAACGGCTGCGGGCTGCGGCAGCGGCCGGGTGGCTTGTGGGTTTGCAGCATGTTGCGAGTTGTTTTGTCGTGGCCGTACACGCAAGCGGTGTAGTGGTGTGGGTTTCGTAGGTATCTTCCGGGAGGTGATTTGGTTTGGTTTGGTTTGCAAGGAAGAACAAGTCTCTGTTCGTGTCTGTTCACGTTTTCTGTTTATCGGAGCAGGAGCGGTTGCCAGTTAGACCTGGGGTCCGGGAACATCTGTCAATTGTGCGGGTTGCTGACACTGACAGGAAGCGAGGGGGTGATGTGGCATCCTTATTCGCATGTTCGGCTGGTATTAAAGTCGGCTGATAAACCGGCTGAAGTTGTTTTGTTGTGAGAGAAAAATACTATAGATTCTAACCGATAAGCCGACCGATAAGTTCAAGCGAAGATGCCCGGCGTAGTACTAGTGTGATCCACCCCATTCCGAGCAGTCGCTGTCTTGGAACGTAACTATAGTACCATACACATTAAGCACATGGCTTTGAGCGCAAGGCTTCGATTGGGTAATCTTCGATGAGTTATTAACGCGTCACGGTTTGCTATTATAATACTCCTACTATATAGTAAAAAAGAGAAAGGTAAGACCGCATCATTGACCTTTCTTTCTTGGGTCGCCGCTCGTGACTCACTCCTCATTGTCGCCGTAGTGACAACCAGAGCATTTGGTTAACTGATTTTTCTTTTTATCACATGATTAACTGATTTGACCAACGACATCCATCCAGAAAGAAAACGACTCGAGATGATGATTCATGACAAGACCATCCGGAAACACAAGACCCATCTTTCTGGTTTCTATTAGAACCCTGGCTGCATGCATCGGTCCATGGATCGACGAGACGTTCCAATAAACGCTCGCCTTCGAGATACCCAGGTGTGAAAAAAAGAATCGAAATCTTCTAGTCGTGAGAAGGAACGTTCTTGGACTTGACAATACGATTCCATGTGCGGATGTGCCTCCTTGATTTGCTCGGGTTTTCAACGGGGCTGACAGCAGCAACAACGTGGCCTCGTCTCCTCTGCCCTGGCAACCCTGCCCCTGCCCAAGAAATAGTAATAGTAAAGCCTCACCGGCACCGGCTTGCCTGGAGACCTGGAGTGTGGAGACGCCAGCTTGACCGATCAAGCCCCGCCGTGCAACCCGTGCGCGTTCGGTGCCCGGCCAGCCTCACGCGGTTTGCAAGCGGAGCAAACGTGCCGGCGCCCGAACTGTGTGGCGGTGCCGGGCGGGCCATGCCCCCATGCCGGGGTGATTGCTTGACTTGTCGCAAGAGATGCCGCCAGAAACACTGGAAGCATAGCGCTGCAAACTGCAACGTGGTGGCTCGATCCGTTGCGGCGCGGACGGTCAGCGATGGCGGTGCGCCTCCACCCTCTAGTCCACTACCGGAGGAGCGAGGAGATAACGTCACGTGAGACGTGAAAAATGGTCGGTAGACGGTAGGGTTAACCGACCGATCAACTTTAAGATATGCTGATGTTAGCTGCTGTCCATTCTTGAAAACAGATTCTGTTGCCCTGTCACAAAACGACGTTTTTGCCGAGTGGTTAAGGCGTGTGCCTGCTAAGTACATGGGGTTTCCCCGCGAGAGTTCGAATCTCTCAGGCGTCGTCTTCTTTTTTTCTTCACTAGTGGAAGGCGCGCGCCCTCGCGCGCGGCACGTATAAGTTTAGTAATAGATGTCCATAGAGTTTATAAGTTCAGTAATTGATGCATAGATGTCCATAGATTATCATATTATAAGGTTTATTCCGAATATTAGATGCCATCCATTGGTTTCATGGCTTTACATAAGAGGTCTATAGGTTGTACAGACAACACAAGGCCTGTCTGGTCACAAGACAGTTGGTACTATAAACTGTGCTGTGGAAGCAGGGATTCTAGGATAATGTACATGTTACATTTATGGACTGCAAAGCAGTCTAGAATAATGTACAAATTTATACCTACATACATATAGCAGTGTAAAAGGTAAAGAGCACTACATAGGCATATGTTACATGTGTTAATTCAGGATCAATCAGGACTCGAACTGAAGTCTCATGACCATCTCCTTGTGTTTCTGTCTGGCGGTATGGTATGGTTAGTGCTGGTAACCAGTAGAGGATTAGTTGTAATTGGAACCTGCAGTAAAATGTGTATCTTAGCACCTGTAGAGATGTATGTGGATGTGTAGGACTCGAACTGAAGCCTCATGACCATCTCCTTGTGTTTCTGTCTGGCGGTATGGTATGGTTAGTGCTGGTAACCAGTAGAGGATTAGTTGTAATTGGAACCTGCAGTAAAATGTGTATCTTAGCACCTGTAGAGATGTATGTGGATGTGTAGAAAATAAAATTATAGAACATGACAATGGAATAACAGATAACTAATCTCAGTTAATATGCTGGTACGTTGGTGGTTGTATATGCTTATTACTTTCAATTATTATTTTCATTTTCAATATGGATGTGTTGTTAAAGGTCTTGTTAAGGCCTACAATTATTGGCAGTGAACCGAGAGGATGAAAGGAATCAAATCCAATTGATAAGTAACACAGCCTTGTTAAGGCCTACAATTATTGGCAGTGGACCGAGAGGATGAAAGCAATCAAATCCAATTGATAAGTAACACAGCCTTGTTAAGGCAATGGATAAGTGTGAGTAACCGGGATACTAATATACAAAAGAATGGGCAAAATAGTACTCACCACAGAATCAGAGCGAACAGGAAAAGGTTGGTTGGTCACCGTTACCGCAAGTCACCGATTGTAGTGAACTGCAATGAGTAGAGTAAGCCCCCAGATGACTTTAAGAAGTAATTTGTATAATAGCATGGAACTTGCAATGCAAATAAATTTGGCACTGCACTGACCAAAGGCATGGAACCTAAAATGTGCAACAGACAAGCAATAAGAGATATACAAAAATGCAGTCTCTACCAATTGTCTTTCCCTGAGGTCTCAGTACAGTCCAAAAAAAAGTGGAGCAGAAATTGAAGCACTGATCATTGAGGTCCAAAGAACAGAAAGTCAGCCAAGCCTATACAGGCTATAACAAAATGGCTGCAGCGGGAAAAAAATTACGGACCCATAATAAATCTAGGTACTCCATAACGATGGGTGTCAGCACATCCTATTGCATAACATGCAAACGTTGCTAGGCTCACACCATGTTGTATTATGCAATGCTTGATGTCCAATGAGCACAAAGGACCTGCACTCTGAGATACAAAATATGAGTATTAGTTAAAACTAATTAGAGCACCGAAATTATCGTTTCTGACTTCTTAATTATCATCGGAAGGGTACTTAGTTTCATTTGCATGCGGACAGCCTAAGTAAACTTAATAAATTTATCAACAGGTTAATAAATCAAAAGCCTTCAGGTTATGAGCGTCAACTTAATAAATCAAAAGACATCAGGTTTATCGCGAACCTCCCGACCATTGAAAACAGGAAAGATTAATTCAACTCATTGATGAGTCTAGACCCCGCTCAGAGTGGGAGCTCTCTGCACTGGGTACGCCCTTTTTTAATGATGAGTCTAGAAAAACTATATGGCCAACAGGTACGTGAATGGAAAGGAGTAATGATGGGTTTTAAAAAAAACATATGACCAACAGGTAGGTAAATGGAAAGCAGTGATATCTAAGAGAAGTTAGTATTCACAAATCATAATACATTTCATCATATATCAGCAGCTGCTGTGTCGTATAGGGTTATGGTCGTTCGCTTGTTTCCCCATTTGTTAGATCAATTTAATCCTACACTATATGAATAAGTGAAAAGCTTAAAAGATAATAGGAGTCCAAAAATCTGTAAAGCAGTAAGCATATATTGAAGTAAAACTGAAAACAGATTCAATCGCATTAGTAAGCTGTGGGATCAACGCTGCTATGTTTCGAAAACGTGAAAAGCATAGAAGTAACCTACATTTTCAGGCAGCGTGGATGGCATTATTCAAAATTTTAAAAAAATGCAAAGGTCATACAAATACGTGAGAAGCTCATACAAAACAGGGGCACATATACATATTAGAAGCTGCTCCATAATTGGTATTTGGTGATACTCTACACTAAATTAGCTAGGTTATAAAAAATAGTAATCTCTAACTGCTTGGAATGCACTAAAAAGATGAGGGGAAAATCGACACTTACTTGTACAATGGCTGATTGGAACTTAAATTGCATGGCTTCTTTCCACAGTTTTGGCACATAGTCGAAAGGACTATGCTTATGTTAGCATTGGTGTAAGGCGTGGAGAAAATTTGCAGCACAATCTCACTATGTTAGAATTGACCAATCCGATTGAATCTTAAGGGACCTTACACTGAAAATATCCAAACAGTCATGGAAGCACATGAATAAAAGTCCAGATCAGTCCAAAAGCCTAAATGATTCAGCTACCTGACCACGAATACAGGAACCAGGAACTGAATCCCTATACACCAAAGGCAAGTAAACAAGAGCCTGTAACGGCAAGCAACAAAACATTGACAACCTTGTAAACACACGCTCTGGAAACTGAAGAAGGAATAATAACCAAGAGGAATATTAAATAGATAAGGTGTATAGTAACTGGCCTGTATACAGATACACTATTCATACAGTTCCTGCATTATTTGGTTGCTGTTTTTTTTTTCTCTTTCCTCCTATTTGACTTCTATGAGCAAAAATGCAACAAAAAAGACGGTAACCGATAATTATTTTGCCAATCGATCGATACCTTTGACACTGCCACTGAATATTATAGATCTTTATTACAAAAAAACTATTGATATATGCATGAATAGAAACAGCATAGCGCACGCCTCACAAAGTAAACACTACATATACTGATCGGACACCACAAATACAGAGAAATGCGAACTGTAAATTGAAACTCCAATCCCACAGCAACATGGCAATTAAATACTAAGGGACAGTTAACTACATGAATATATTTAATCTATATGATCATGATGACATTAAGATGAATGACAAAAAGGAAAGTACAATTAATTTTAGAGTAATTGGTGGAAGAGACACCCTTCCAAGATAGTTCAGTTTCATGCAGGATTAATTTTAGGATGCATTAGTTCAGTTTGATGCATGTTATCCACCAAGATAGTTATAGTATGACAGCACCCAAGTTAACTAAATTGTAATCCGTCACTAATCAATGATGATTGACTATGCAGGCAGCCTCCTTTTATTGAAAATCCTTGGAACAACGAACCAATGCAATACATGTAAAAACCTAGAACCTAATCAGCAAGAGCATCAATTCTCTACAGCCTCCTTTTATTGAAAATCCTTGCAACAACCAACCAATGCAATACATGTAAAAACCTAGAACCTAATCAAGGAATAGCAAGAGCATCAATTCTCTACTTCTCATATATATTATATACTTTTTCTTTCTAAAATTCCACCTTGCTGTAGAGGTCTGCACATATTAAAAAATAAAAATACACCTAGAAATCAAGAATGTGGGCGCATCATCGTTGACAATATATCATCAAAAAGACTTCCCACTTGTCCTTACTAAGCCTTGCTGCTACCAACCAATGAAACCATAAAAAAAAGGGCGTACCCAGTGCAGAGAGCTCCCGCTCTATGCGGGGTCTGGGAAGGGTGTCAGTGGCAAGCCTTACCCTCGCCTGTGCAATGCGAGGAGACCGTGACTCGAACCCGGGACCTTCCGGTCACAGGCGGTAAGACTCTACCAACCAATGAAACCATATCCATGTAAAATGTTGAAGCCTATTGAGGCAATAAGAAGAGCATCAATTGTGGAATTGTAACCATGTGTCAGTAATATATAGTGGTTTAGGATTCTGCGGGGTGCTAAAAATGGTCTATAAATACTAAGAAATATTGTACATGCCATCAATTTAAAAGCACTACAATAAATCATGAAATGCGAAGCACACAAAGGAGAAAAGAAAATTCCACTTACAATGCACCCAGCCCCAAGTCTGTCTGTCCGAACCAAGTGGGATGCTTCACCAACATGTGTTGACTTCAGTGGGTCTGCAAAATCTCAAATAGATTGTAGTTAGATCAGATCCTAATACAAATGGATTAAGCTAGGGTTTGGGTGCTCGGTGTCGCACAGCAGGCAGGGAAGAGAAGGGATGGGCGTACCTGGTGGGTGCTCGTCGCCAGCGAAGGGCCTGATGGTGGCCGCCGCCAGATCCGGAGGCCGAGCTGAGGCGCCACCGTCGACGGAGAGGAAGAGCCGACGCCCAGCCGCCCCTAGCAGCACACACGGCGAACTCACGGGCGAGGACGCGGAGAGGCCGGTACGCCGGGACGCGAGGGGAGGAGAAGGACGAGGGCGGCCATGGCCGGTGACGGACACCGCCGGGGCACACGCATGGAGCCGCGCCGCAGCCAGGGGGCGCCGTCGCGCCCCGGCAGCGCCTCGCGCGGTGGGCCAGCGTCGCTGGCCCGGCCGGTACGCTGCGAGTCAGCAGCCTTAGGTAAAATGACCGTCCCTGTCTCTGGCTTCTCTATTCTCCTCCCTCTCCCCATCGCTGACACACGAGCCCCACAAGTCAGATCTCCTTCAACCTCCGGCAGTCCAGCCATCACCACGCAGTGAGGGAAGGGGACGAGCTCGGGCTTTTGATAGAGGCAGTGGCTTGATCGGGTTCGTGCACATCAACCATGGCTGCCATGGAGCACGCCTTGCACGGGAGGCACCACCGGCTGACGCACACTATGGACATGTACCGCTCTCCACACCCGCGACACTTGCCCGAGCACTGGAACACCTGCCGCCCCGCGCGCGGCCGGAGGCTTCTTTTCCGTCGGCGGCTTCGTCTGCCACGGTGTGTTGAGCCACGCGGGGCAGAGGGCGCACCTCATGCTGTTCCGCCACTCCTGGCGCCCGACCACGGCGCAGAACTTGTTCTTGCAAGAGGGGCAGTAGATGAGGATGGGCTCGCGCGGCTCCAGCACTGGTGGCTGCATCATCAGGGATCCCGCATCATCATTTGCACCATCACCTTCGGCGCGCGGAGGCGGGGGAGTGCACTGGAGGCAGGAGGGGCCGAGCGGCGGTGGTGAGAGGGCTTCATCGTGTGCCTCCCGCAACAGCCTAAAGGCACCCTCGGCGGCGGCGTAGTGGGTCTTGTCCGGGTGAACGAGGAGCGACAACCGCGGGAACTGCTTTTAGACGGCGTCCTGCATGGTGGTGGCGGCGGCGGCGACTCCTGGGCCTATGCCGAGGATCGCGCGCCAGCCGCCGGTGCCACCGCGCGCAGCGGCGCGGACGTGGACCTCGTACACCGCGAGCGCGTTGTCCACGCCCGGGAGCGACGGGCAAAGCCGCTTCGCCTTCTTGGCCTTTCTGTGCGCGTCGCAGATTTTGCCGACGAGGAAAAGCTCCTCCTTCGCCGCCGCGAGCCGGTACGCCTTCTTGGCTTTCTCCCTCGCGTTATACACCGCCATGTGGGAGTCTGCTGGATTGGATTGCTCTGGATGGTCGGAGCCTTGTGCATGGCGAGCTCCTCCCCTTTCCTCTCTCACTACGCGGTGATGGCTGGAGGTTGAAGAAAGATCTGACTTGTGGAGCCCACGTGTCAGTGATGGAGGATAGGATGTGTCAGTGATGGGGGGACAGGGGAGGGGGAGAACAAAGAAGCTAGGTGCAGGGCGGTCATTTTACAAAAGTGGCAAATGTGCATTGATTTTCTCTATCTGCTGTTAAAATCGTATCGTCAATTCTAATAATGTTATTTGAGGGGTCGTCATCCGTTATGATGATAAAAAGTTAAATATCCCGAAGGGCTAGGGTCGGGAGAAGCAAGAAGGCTCCAGAGAGACACGGTAGATCATTGGGGAGTAAAAAAGGACTGTAAACGCAGTATCAAACGGTCAATTAAAGGGAGTAATTTTTCTCCCAAAATCGAAGCAAAGCTTTTCCCTTTCGCGCATTTTTGTCTTACCAACTTGCAAAATCAAAGCAAAGCTTTCTTTTTTCACCCATTTTTGTCTTGCCAACTTGCAAAATGGAAGCAAAGCAGCCCAGTAATTGCCCATTCTCGTCATTTGAATTATTGGGAAACGAAGGAACGATAGGGTCTTCTAACGAAAACAATCATGAGCGAGATACAACATCGTCCTTTTGTTGTTAACGTAGATCGTCAGTAGATTTATTGGTTTTCCTTTATTTTTGGGCTCCACCTAATTGGACTTTTTACCTATGCATCTCTTTGCATACTTATCAATTTACAAGCCAGGTTCCGGGTCTTTTATTTTTTTTAAACAACTTCCAAAATCTGAACCGTCGGTCTTTTTTTTTTCATTTTCTTTTCTCCCACTCCCATTTTTGTCATACAAAATCTGGACGGATACGTTCAGGGCGTTCGCCTGAGGCCTGACGCGCGCCAGCCTGCATTCCTCCCGCGCATTGGAGCCCAGGCTGAGCCTCTCTTACATTTCGTGGAAGAAGAGAAGAAGAGATGAGAACATAACAGAGGAAACCCCCTTTCATCCTGGCTGAAGAGCCGAGTCTTTTGCTGCTTTGTGTAATATACTGTACGTGCGAAATAAAGACAGCGATACACTTACAGGAGCCAGTTATAGACAGCACTCCCGAAGTGTCAAGCACATACAAACACATGGCAATTTGGGTGGAAAGGGGTCTCGAGCGGTTTCTTGTTCAGACATTGCTCAGTTCATCCTCATGCTTCCCATCCGGTGCTCTACGTCAGGTCTTCAGCGCGGCCGGAGCGTATTTTTGGGGGCGCTGATCCACGGCGTGCCGGCAATGGCGAACCTCCACGGCGCCGCGACGTGCTCAGGAGATGCGTAATCGATGCCAACGCGGGGACCAACCAAAACACTCTCCGGCTCTGGCCCGTCCAATACTCCAACCCACCTGGGAGGGAAAACAAGATATCGCTTGGGTGAAAATGGATAAATCATCAGCGCCAGTGGTTTCGGGCCATGGTGGAGGTCAGTCGAGCATACCAGGTGTGTAGAGAGGATGGTTCGACCAATCAGTGGATAGGCCCAGAGCTTGTCCAACCTGAACACGGCGCACATAAATTTTAAAACCTTTTTAACACAGTTGTGCATGAACATTGAGAAAACAAAAATCTGGTAACACTTGTAGCTAACTGAAGAGGCACCTACCTTGCCTGGTCCTGTAAGTAGGATTGGTTTCTCGGTTTGTTGACCTCGGCGTCGCTGAATAGTTTCTAGACCTGAAACAGTTTCAAGAAATCGATCCAAGTCCGGTTTGAAATATGTTATACTAGCTTACATTGACAAGGCAAAGAGACATTGAAACTACGAAAAAATCGTTTAACTGACAGATAAGGGAACTACAAGACCTAAAAAAAATTCAGGAAATTGATTGATGTCGGCGCATCGAGCTTAAAGTATGATAGATGCAAGGGCAGTGATAAAGCAAGACATGCTGAAATTACCAAAAGACCTTCTGATGGACAGATAAGGGAAATCCAATTTACAGCGGGAACATGTAGTTCCGTTAGTAGAACTGGAATTTGAGACAAAGGTTGTGCGCTCTCTAGTTGTGCAATCAAAGAGATTTATTTTACTTTTCTGCCTCAAATTGGAAGCAACACAGAGAATAAATTGTTGTGGTATGTGGGCAAAAATACTCAACACCTCCGATATCCCTCTTGATCACATAATTATCTAGTGGCACAAATTTCCATTTTCCTCTTCTAGCTACGCTAAGGTAAAAAAAAGTAAAGTTAGTACAAAATCTTTGTCACAGGTTGCAAAGGTGCAGCTGTTGAACAGAGCAATTCAGTTTAGATATATAAAAAACAAAAACAAAGCAAGATCCATGAGACCATGACCGACTCCGGCATTAACCTAACATGTTCCATTCAGCTGCAATTGTCAGACTGGTAATGTCACACAGTAATTATGGTATATCTTATGATCCTAGCAGAATCCACAGATAAAAAATTCACTCTTTATCCAAGCAGTATGAAAAGTTTGGTGATGAAGTGCTATTGAGCAATGCATACCGCTAACTGGAGAACATGACCGGATCAAAACAGCAGCACCAACCCCCTCTATATCGGCAACAACATTGAGCATCATGTGGAGTCCATAGCACAGATACACATATGCATGGCCTCCGGGTCCAAACTACACACAGAGGAGCACAGATTTTAGCTCATGCCCATGCTACAAAGCCCCAAATTTGCCATGTGCAGAAAAAACAATGCAAGGAAACACTGATCCTACCACTGGAGCAGTCCTTGCTGTGATGCCGAACCGGCCATGGCATGCGGAATCATTTGGCCTGTAGGCCTCCACCTGAAATTTTAGGAAAGTTCAGAATACTGAATACCATAACATGGTGTTTTCGATTAGTTTAGCATCACAGAGAAGAACTGAATAAGAGCATTTCGCCATTTTGCCAAACAAAGATAGATGCTACATGTTCAGGGAAATTGAGCTTGAAAGCTACTCGTATTGCAACAGAGTACAATCTCGATTCGTATGAAAGACGCGAGACTTCTGAAGAAGAACGACCTCGGTGATGCGGAGGACGACCTCGTCGCGCTGCAGCAACTTGCCGAGGAGGCGGGGGGCGAGGTCGAGGGCATCCACCTCGAAGAAGTCTCGCGGCAATGTACGCCCAACAGGCGGCGGCACCGCGTCCAACTCCACCGATGCAGGAAGCAGTGCCCTCGTCAACGCCGGGCTCACCGCCGCCTCGGCCTCGGCCTCTCCGCCACCGGCGGCGACGCGGCGGCTTCTGAGCCGCGACTTCTTCCTGGGCGAGGAGCGCTTGAAGCTTGGGGGCTTGGGCGCGCCGGAGGTGGAGGTGGTCATCGGCGATGGCTCGCCGGCGGCGTTCGTCGGCGGCAAGAGGTGGGGCTTCCCGGGCTTCAGTGCTCGGCAGTGCAAGGGATGCGTGGAGTTGACGGTGGAGATGGAACGGAAGGATCGCATGGATGATAAACTATGAAGCGAATGCGCGTAAGGTAGTTGCGGACTCGATCATGTTTGACAATGCACATTAGCCATCGATGAAGTAGGATTAACGAGACTTTCTTGGAAAGAGAATGGGGAAAAACTAAGCGGCAGCAGCACGGATTGGGCCGATTCCGAATTCCGATTCTTAAAAAAAAATACTACAGCTGCTTTCATGGAAACAGCAGTGAAAATGTCAACAAATAAAAACAAAGTTTACTCGCCGGTGCTGAAAATACTACTGAATTTACCACCTCAACCCCCATGCGCTCGCCGGTGCTGATCTCCATCCCCTCTCTCTTTCTCTGTCTCTCTCTCTAGCAACCTTACCCTTTCTTCAAACCCTACCCATACTCTCCAAACCTTAACAATGTTGATCACTGCAGCTCCGATTACTCCTATCCAAACATTGTAGGAAATGAAAAAACATCACGAAGGATCGAGCAGGCGAAAGACAAGAGGGGACAAATGGAAACCAATTAAAAAAAATCAATCCAAGGACCTCTCTTCCAATTACCACAAACCTGCTTGACCTTCTCTATAGTCGTTAACCGTCTCAGTGCTCCACACTTGCACATCAAAAAGTAAGAGACATGTTGCATAACACCACACTCAAGTAATGGTTAGTCTCTAATACTTAACCAAAGCCTCATCATCTTCTTGACAATCACTCATTTATCTCAACACAGAGGGGCACATCTCAACCATGTTCGCACATTCCAAAGCCAGCTAAGTAAATGGCGCTTCCTGTTCCACTGGAATAGCTAGCACTGTCAAATGTTAACTGATTACAGTCTCATTGCTACTTCCTCTCATCGTTGAACTAATCAACACCTTGAATTACAAAATCCAACTATTTATCTGAATATAACTATCTAGAGATTCTCACTATCTAAAGATAATAATTTATGTTTCAAGCACCCCATTTTTTATCTACAATTTATATTTTATATCACTAGCTAAATCACTATGAGTATAAGATCCAAGGAGAGTCTAAGCAATTTTATGGAAGATTCCCACTTAAATTAAATTGCTTGAGGTTAGTAGGAGTTGATGGATAGCTTATTACATGCTTAGCACATTAATAGTTGCTGCTGCTGATGGTCAGTTGTACTGGATCATCAGTAGATTTAATAGTTTTAGCTTTGGTGTTTTTATTTTAAGGGACCGGCAAACATTGATATATAATAGAAAATATAAGCAGATTTCATACTATGTGCAAAAAAGCAAAAAGTACAACAACGCCAACGCCGCCTAATACTCCATGGTCGTTCGGCAAGCGACAAACACCGATGACTTGCGGTATTTGTATTACGTCTGATTGCTGCTGAGATGGTTTTATCAATAGCTTGAGCTTGGCAATGTCAACATGTGCTCTTGACGTAATGTCACATTGAGAAAACTAAAACTATGCCTTAACATGTGGTTCCGCTCCACTACGATTTTTGCACCACGAGTTATGATGCCACACACTGGTTATCCAAGAGAGTTTTTTTTATTTATTTTAACACTTTTTTAAACTAATTTGAAATCCAACCCTCTTTAAATTTTATTTCCGAAACTAATATTTTTGGCCGTGCCTATTTTTATGGCGCGACGAAACGCCTGGGCCACGCGCATGTATGGTGGCGCGGCAAGAGGCATGACATGGCGACGGCATCGAGACAACGACGGTGGACGTGGCGAGAAAGGGCTGCGTATTATTGCGGATACGGGACGCAACATCGCCGCGCCGCCACGCGCAGATCGCAGCGACATAACTGCAGGTGCATGTTGCTCCGAGCGTGCAACCATGCGCTTCCACGCCGGTGGAGTGCATGCAGTTACCTACTGCTTTGCAGGTGAAGGAACATGCTGCCCCATCAAATCACCTAGCCTCTAGCTATGTATTGTATGTATATTCATTCTTTAAACAGGAGCAGATTACATGCTATTATACCATATTTTACTATTTCTGTTTGATGTAAGTTCTGTGTTCAACTAATGTAAATTGATTATTCGTCTGTTCAACTATTCGGGAGACCGTAAACGATCGTGGATTATTTACTGCGGGCTGGTTTGGTGCGAGAGAAAAACATTGTTCGACTAAAAATTTACGATCGTTTACGACCGAACAGGCTATTCTTGATGCATCGTGCTATTCCAGCTATAAAATACCCTTGGCCTACTGCTGAGCGCATCATTTAGAAACTAGAAAACATCGCGCGGCAAGCCGCGCGGGCCAGTAGGTGCCAGCGTTATGAAGCTGCTAGTAGTTGCGTAGAAGTCCAATCCAGTGTAAACATTTTTATCTTGAGATTTACTTAATTTGAAGTCAAAATATGAATATTATTAGGAGAAAGTCGACTTTCATCGATGGAGCTTCTGTGCGGTCCTAGGTGACGACTGGTGAGGAAGGGAAGAAACCCGGCGGCGCGTAAAATGAGTCGTGGGCTGAGTAGGCGGAGATTGCTCTGACTCGGCGCTCGCGTATGCTTCCTCATCCATCTGAAAGCTCGCGAATTCTCTCGCAGCACAGCGAGGTCGGGCTGGCCGCACGCCACAGGCCACCGGCGAGTTGACACAGCAGGGCACGATTTTTCTTTGGATCTCTGATTGCAGCAAGATAATATGTAGAGAAGGGAAGCTGGAGAGACGTGCTTATTTTATTGATGGAGAGACGTGCCGGAGAACTCAACTGAAGGAGATGGGAAGCTGGAGAGAGTCAGAAGTGGCTCCTGCTGGTTAGTCAGGCCATTGAATATCTACCGTTGAGATGTAATCCAACGTCTACATATTTGAAGATGACGTGGCCCAATGACGTGGTAGAGCTTGGCTCAGGTTTAGAAGTGTATATATATATACAGGATCGTAAAGCCGGTAAAATCACTCAATCGTTTTATTTTATACGTGGTATGGGTAAACTACTGTAAAAATTTCATAGCAATTTGAATAAAGAAACTAACTCTATTAATTATTTATAGAAAACTCTAGAGAAATCTAGATCCACATTAATAGCAAAAAATTACACTAAAACATGTGATGTTATGTGTTTACAGTGCAGTGCTAGTTGTGTAGAGTTCGACAAACTTGGTTTGGCATTTTTTTTTTATTTGTTTTATTATGTTCTTTACAAAATTTCAACCGTTTTAGATAAATAATAAATTCGCAGGAAAATAGAAAAACATCGTCAAGCGGAATTCGACCCAACAAGGCCCAGGTTCATCCATATACAGGCCCGAGCGGGAGGCATGCCGGCCCATTTAAAAGGTCTGGATTGGAGGTTAATTTTAGTAAAGTTCGATGGCTTTTTTGAAAAAAAAATCTTAGAGGAGGCCTGGACCACGGGTTGATTCCACTAAAGTTCCAGAGTTTTTTGAAAAAAGACTGGAGCTCGCACGATCTGGGCCGTCCGCGTGGCCGATCCAATGGCCGAGAAAAGCGGCCGACGTGGCCACGCTGCCTGGCCCTCTTTTAGTAGCAGGATTCATATGGTAAGATTAGAAGTGACTTTCCTTCTAGAACATTGTAGATTACCACTAAAATAGGATAAACTAGAATTGCAAACACCACGACCTCACTGAAAGGCCCTTCAAATCAAGGAAATTTGCCAAAGCAGGTGCGCAAGTGAAACGCAAAACTGTTCCCTGTAGTTCATACACAGCCGAGGAGGCGACGAACCGCCAGCCGGACTCAAGTCCACGCCCGTCGAATCGCCGATACTATGGAGGGCGACGACCGGAGGGCCCCGCTGCTGGGGTCCGGCGCCGGAGCCGGCGGCCGTCCCCCGTCTCTGCGGCGCCACGACTCGGCGCGGTCGCTGCGCAGCAGCTTCCTGTCGCGGCTGCCCGCCAAGGTGCGCGCCGGGCTCGACCCGGAGCGCCTCGCCGACCTCGACCTCTCCCGCGCCAAAGGCCTATCCCAAGGTAGCAAAGTTGCGAGCTCTGATCCCTCATCCGGTCACCCCTCCTACCCTCTCCGCCTCTCCTGCGTGTAGGTGTGAGAGAGTACTACGAAAAGCAGTTCGCGACCCTGAGAACCTTCGAGCAGGTGGAGGCGCGCTGCATGCCCGGCGAATTCGATTCCGATGTCGAGGCATCCGAATCGGAGGACACGGAGCAGAAGCAGAGCGAGTTCGCCATGAAGATTTCCAACTACGCCAACATCGTGCTGCTGATTTTCAAGGTGCGTGAGTTCAGGCGTCTGATTGTGCCGTTGTAGTCTTATAGAGTGGAACATGGGTAGGACAGGCTACAGAGCGCGAGATTGCGTGCTGTGCTGATCCGTTTCGGCTGCGGGAATCGCAGGTGTATGCTACGATCAGGACGGGGTCCATGGCGATCGCGGCGTCCACGCTCGACTCGTTGCTGGATTTCATGGCCGGGGGTATCCTGTGGTTCACGCACCTTTCCATGAAGAGGGTCAACATTTACAAGTACCCAATTGGGAAGCTGCGTGTTCAGCCGGTTGGGATCATCGTCTTCGCGGCCATCATGGCAACTCTAGGTGTGCCATCTCTGATTCTTATCAAGAACGAAATGCATAAGCATAACATTTGCTGTCTGTCAGACAGATGCAATGTGGAAGTGTTTGTACAAATGAATAACATGAGTTTCTTCGCCTGTTTAGGTTTCCAGGTCTTGGTCCAAGCTGTTGAGCAGCTGGTGGAGAACAAACCTGGCGAGAAGATGACATCGGAGCAGCTGATATGGTTGTACTCCATCATGCTTTCAGCAACTGCTGTGAAACTTGCTCTCTGGCTCTACTGCAAGAGTTCAGGGAATAGTATTGTCCGGGCTTATGCAAAGGTATCCTGTGTTGCATTGTATTAGTAGTTGAGTACATGATTTAACCGACATCAAGTTGTCATTTAAATTCACCTGTACATGTGCCATCCAGGACCACTATTTTGATGTGATAACCAATGTCGTCGGTCTGGTGGCTGCTGTTCTTGGGGACAAATTCTTATGGTGGATTGACCCTGTGGGGGCTGTAATACTTGCTCTATATACCATTGTCAACTGGTCCAAAACTGTATTAGAAAATGCAGGTACCTCCAAAACACTTCACATTCTCCCAAGTGTAATGAATTTTTGTAAGTGGTTTATTCACCTCATTTAGGAAAACTGAGATTGGGATAGCTGATTAAATTATGCAAAAAAAAAGTTAATATCTAGAAAAGCCAGCTAAGAGGAAGCTAAAAGATTGGCTGTCCTCTCACTGTTGCCAATTACTACATTGATCATATTTAGAGAAGATGTGCATCTGTAGTTATGCTCTAATAAGTGCCTGATCAGTTTGTGACTAACCCCTTCTCTGCTTCAGCTACCCTAGTGGGCCAATGTGCTTCTCCAGAGATGTTGCAGATGCTAACGTACCTCGCCATAAAGCACGATCCACGAGTGAGGCGGGTTGACACTGTTCGAGCTTACAGCTTTGGAGCTCTCTACTTTGTTGAGGTCAGTTATCATCTTATAACATTAGAAGCACACTAGCAAAGTCCATGTCCCTGCCACTCATCTCCTGCTCTTCTACTAGTGTGGTGGATCTTACAGTATAATAATCTACTCTTGGCTACAACGCAGGTTGACATTGAATTCTCGGAGGATATGCGGCTGAGAGAGGCGCACACCATCGGTGAAACGCTGCAGGAGAAAATTGAGAAGTTGCCTGAAGTCGAGCGGGCGTTTGTTCATATCGATTTCGAGAGCACTCATAAGCCTGAGCACAAAGTCAGGAGCAGGCTGCCGGCTACTGATACCTGACAGATTTCTGCGTGCTCATGTAGTACATTGTTAGGAGTTAGCTAATATCGCGGTGCTTTTCTTCAATGGTTACATGTAATAATTCCCTTCACCTGTAAAATAAAATAAGAGCATCACGTATTCCTCAATGGAATAATACAAGATTGAATTTTCCAGTTTACTGATCCTAATCACGCTTCCGTAGTCGAACACCATAAATCTCCATTGCATTTGCAATGGTATGTAACATCATCAAAGATTGGGTTGGGTTATGATTACTTCACTACTGGATAAAATCTTACACCCATAACTTAAGAACGTCAGGCGGTTTATGCAAATGGTGGTGGAAAGCTGAGAATGGAGAGGGCATTTGGCAAGGTATTATAAGAAAAAAATACCTAAATAAGGGGGGTTTAGCTCATTTGAAGAAGAGTTATAAAAATTCCCCTGTGTGGAATGATCTTCTCAAAGTAAAGGATTTATACTTAAAAGGTAGGTTTGTGGTGATTGGGGATGGTAAGAGTAACAGTTTTTGGCACGATCGTTGGTGTGGGCTTGTCTCCTTGGCAGACAAGTTCCCTAGGCTGTTTGAAATAAGTGAAGATCAGGAGTGCACGGTCGAGACTATGAAACAGAGGAGGTGGAAGCTTAAACTTAGGAGATGGTTGCATGAAGATCTGCAAAACCAACTGGGAAGGCTCCAAGATATTGTATACCGTTGTTGTACTAATGGCAATAAAGACAGCGCGATATGGGATTGGGAGAAATCAGGTGTTTTCTTGGTCAATTCGACTTATAAACATTTATGCAAAAATGAATATGGGCCTAATAACAAGAGAATTTGGAAAGCCAGGATCCCTCTAAAGATCAAAATTTTATGTGGCTGGTTTCTCAAAATGCGATACTGACTAAGGACAATCTGTGTAAACGAAAATGGAAGGGGAACAAAGCTTGTGCATTCTGTACAGAGGAGGAGGATGGTCATCACATCTTTTTTGGGTGTCTGACTGCGAAATATATTTGGATTTTGTTAGCTTTCTCTCTAGGAACTGATTGTAGACCAAGCAACATTGATCAGTATTGGGTGTGGGTTAATAAAATTCTGCCTCATAGCCCACACATGCATGCTGTTGGGCTTGCAGCCGTTTGTTGGGCAATTTGGCGTGCTCGTAATGCTGTTTGCTTTGAGAATAAACGAATCAAATCTCCTACTGAGATTGTTTGTATGATCTGCTCATTTCTTACGTATTGGGCAGGATTACTGAAGGAAGAGCTGAAGACTCAAGTCATTCAAGGTGGAGATGTGGTGAAGACGGCGGCCCTCTTCTTCCACAAGCAGAACCAGCAGGCTGTCGCGGAGCAGCAGTTGGTGCCGCATGCTGCCTGATCTACAATGGGTGGCTTGTCACAGATTTTGGGGAGCTGTGGAGGCTTTTTCGTCTTAGTCTGTTTTGTTAGCTTGGCCAAGGCCATGTTTGATGTAATGCAGTTAAGCTTTCAGGAACTGTGGTTGTGTGCTCAGGATTAGGTTCCCTTGGTGATCCTACGCCTGAGCGTGGTTATTCTGCTATTTTACTATGTTGGTTGGCTGGACATGTTCTGAAAACTCGTTGTAATTTCGTTGCTGCCGTAATGAAATTCGGTTTTACCGGTGTGGAAAAAGAACGTCAGGCAGTGTTCAGTCATACAAGTAATCCCAAGTTCCAGGCAGTTACCACATCACGTCCAGCAGGCATACATATCTAAGACAACACTCACCAAACCTCAGTTTGCTAACTACAGACAAGACGTTGACCCACAAAATGTAGCTGCGCTTCATCTTCAGATTCCAGAGGAGGGCGGCAAAAAGATCCTTCACATTACTAGAATTAGCTGGCAGCAGCAACCATAGCCGTGCGAGCAACTGTGAAAGTTGAGACCAGTGCGCCCAGCTGCACTTTATCGTTGCATGCAAAGCTTAGCCTGTACCTGCACATCAAAGACAAAAGCCAGGAATTATGTTGTTGCTAACAAACAGATTTAATACCAGAAAGAGTTATCACAGTTCTCCTAATTGATCATAAGCTCAAATGCAAAGTCAAAGAACATCACAGGTCACTACCTAGCTATTGCACTATCTCAAACATAGCAGTGAGCTCTTAAGTCATCGCTTCATGGAAACAACTATAGTTTCCACTCTCTGAAAGAAGATTTTACACATGTGGAGAACTACGGCATCCAAAGTTCGCTGAATTAAAAAAATGTTCCAGTGTAGAACTGTTGCAAGGGCTAAACTACACATCTATATCAATGTGCTGATTTAATGATTCATGGCAATTTTAGTTAACAAAGTCCTAATGTTGTTCTTTAGTTAACTATAAGACGTATCAAATAAATAGTTAGCTTGGCCATACATTGTTGGTCTTCCATCCATAGCATCCTCAATTTGGGCAACTACCTACCACCTATACTTTTGTGTGAACTAAAATGACTACTTCTGGCAATCTGAGTAGAATTAGCAAGAAAACATAATTATGGCATAGAATGACAGGTAAGCTAATTTATGTGCAGAACAACACAATTCAACTGTAGAAGTGTATAAAGGACATACTCAATATCAGCCAAGTCATTGATTAGCTTTACACGAACATCAGATGGCATTTGTATTTTGAACACAAACCTGCACAAAAGACCAGAAAATTTAGAACAATGCTACATGGGGTTCATATTCAATGCTAAAGGGCGTACCCAGTGCAGAGAGCTCCCGCTCTGTGCGGAGTCTGGGGAAGGGTGTTAGTGGCAAGCCTTACCCTCGCTTGTGCAATGCGAGGAGACCGCGACTCGAACCCGGGACCTTCCGGTCACAAGCAGTAAGACTCTACTGCTTGCACCAGGCCCGCCCTTCAAATTCCATGCTACATAAGAAAAAATATGAAGAACGTTGAGCTAGTAGGCAGCAGGTAGTGCGTACATAGTAACCTCCCGTATGATATCAACCAAGGCCAATCCTTTTCTCATCTTCATGTCAGATATATCTAAACGGATAAGGAAACATACATTTAGACAATGAATCCTGAATAATCAGAAGGATCATATTGACAGATGGTAGCTAAGAATACATTTGAAGCTGGTTGAAAACGGTTCATTTAATAGCCAAAATGCTATCCGCTCAATATCTTCTGGCATGGGGTTTCCTGTGCAAAGATAGACAGCTTCTTCTGTCATATGTTGGGATGCCATGTGTGTTGCCTGCACATAAAAAAAAAGGTAAGTCATTGTCAAACCATTGTAATTGGCGGATTAGTTTATAGAACAAAACAATTGATATAATGAAAAAAAAAACTACTCCATCCCAAAATTTCTAGGTTTGTCCTACTGTGTTAGGTTTGACCAAATTATAGTACAAAACATAAACATGTAGGACACCAAATTAGTATACAATGTACTTATTTGGTTTCATAGATGTTAATTGTTTTTCTATAAACTTGGTCAAAATTAAAATAGTTTGACTTCGGACAAACCCAAAAGTGGCTAAATTTTGGGAGAGTTAGTATGCTTTATGGTTCATCTCAATGTTGAACTTAGTAATAGATAACATTGAAAGAATAGCACTAGTCAAATACTTGAAGTACACACAACAGTTATGCAAATCAGAATGTATGATTTGTTCAGATCTAAAACATCAACATTTTTGTGCCTTGTTTTAACTTGCTCCCACATGCGCAACTTCTATATCTTTAAATGACTAGATATCAAAACTCCTGGTTAAAAATAGTTGGGTCAAATGCACAGCGTGACAGCAATTAAGGGATAACCTGCAATATATTCAAAGCCTTCCTCATATCACCATTGCTTAACCGCACTAGAGCTGTCAAGCCACCCTCATCTACATTGAGCCTGCAAGTACACGCAAAAATTAACATTGCAGATAGGACCAGAATCCTATACCGGTATAACACCATTTGAAGATCGCAAAGTATGGTATAATATAACCGAGTTCCCAAGTAACATGAAATAATTATTGGGAATTCTTGTATAATCTTAGAAGGAAAACAAGTACTTACCCCTCAGATTTTATTATATGTTGAAGACGCTCTCTAACATGACTGCCATCTAGCGGAGCAAATCTAAACCTGGTGCACCTTGATTGTAGTGCAGGGATAATTTTGTTGACATGGTTGCAAATGAGTGCAAACCTTGTGCTCCTTGTATACTTCTCAATGACTGCAAGGAGGGGCAGATTAAATAGATGTAAGGAAGAAAAATGCACAGCAATATCATGGCAATGAACAAAGTAAAGTCTTAACAACAGAAACACCTCTTCGCAATGCAAATTGTGCATCCTTTGTCATTGCATCTGCTTCATCCAAGAGGACCAACTTAACAGAAGGCCTTGCTCTGTAGAAATTTAAATGGAAGGCAAAAGGGTATTATTGACAGTATTATGACAAACAGAATTACTTGATTGCATATCAAGTCTGAAAGACTCCCTATCAAAAGAAAAAAAAAAGGTTGCACGACTTGTAATGCATACCCAAAAGAGAGGCTGCGTGCGCCAGCAAAATCCTGGATCTGCTGCCTGACAACACCAATACCACGTTCATCTGATGCATTGAGCTCCAGGATCATGTTGCTATACTGAGACCCATATAGCTTCCTCGCAACAGCCAGAATTGTCGATGTTTTCCCAGTGCCAGGTGGCCCGTATAGCAACAAGTGTGGAAGTCTATTCTCGTTTGTAAGCCTGTCAACTACAAGAAGAAAATGACAATCATCAGCTTATCTCATGTGCTACAGTCCCAACCAGCACAGTTGCAAAGAATTTAGTACTCTAGCTAATACTGTAACAAGTTATAACTCAGGAATCACAGAATATGTGGTTGAGGACTTGCGGAGATAGACAAATTCAGGACTTAGTGTCAACCCACATACAGGTTATACGAGACACAAAGATTAGCACAATAACGCGTTAAGAAAATCACGGTAACATATCGACCACACCCCATAGCGTTCACTGAAATCAAATCTAATAGAACCCCACCCAAATCCTTCCTAAAACCCTAAACCCCGCATCAGCCATCGCACGAGCACAACGGCCGCGGCCACTTACTGGTGTCGACGATGTCGCGGTGGGCGGCGACGTCGGCGAGGGACTGGGGCCGGTACTTCTCGACCCAGGGCGCAGCCCTGCCGCCGGCGGAGAGCGGGGCCTTGCCCTTGGCCGCCGCACCAGGCGGCGGGGGAGGCGGCGCGGCGGCGTCGATGTCCATGGGAACGGCGGCGGCGGTTCCCGCCATGGCGGAGAGGAAACCCTAGTGCTGGCTGGCGGGATTGGGGGGGAATGGTTGGCGCCAATTCGAAACCCTCTCGCTCTAGGACGGCTTGGCGACTTGGCGAGTGAGTGCGACGTCGGACTGTCGGAGTGGTCAGACGTCAGCGCGCGCCGCGCTGCGGCCGTAGGCTAGGCGCAGGACTGCAGGACTCCGATCCGAGAGACCTTAACCCAGCCCATCTTATAAAAAAACAAAAGCCCATGTGAAACTGTATATGGAGTCTAACATTGATGGGCTTTTTTGACAGGACTGGTGGTGTTTCTCCCGGACTGTATTGTATCCATATACGTACTTTTAGTAATAATACAGTAGTAGAAATTAAGTGACATTTCTGTAGAATTATTAATTCGGCAATCACGATGCCCATTTCCGTACTTGCTAATATACAATTATGAAAATGCCCGCCATGCTCAATGGACATTTTATAATAGAAGGTGGGAGCATTTTTTTTAGTAAAACTACGCCAGTGAACAATGGTAGTGGACGATTATCCTGGGAATAGAACAATCATAGACGCGACGGGAGACCTGCAAGTAGGAGGTAACAAGATCTGGATTCTGGAATAGTAGTGTCTTTATGGTTTTGGAGTGGCTGTTTGGCTAGTATTAAAGCCGACTGATAAGTCGGCTGAAGTTGTTTTGTTGTGAGAGAAAAATACTGTAAATTTTAGTTGATAAGTTCAAATGAACACGCCAGTTTGGTAGGCTGGTATAGCCGTATAGCTCAAGCCCCACACGGTGATTAGCTCAGAAAGCTCCTTTAGTCATCTATCAGCGGCCGAAAGCGAAGAAAGAAAGTGCAAGGTTCTTGTCTTGTTGCCAAAAGCCAGGACTAAGATTCCACATCTCTACGTCTTGAAATTCTCCATCGTCTAGATCCGGTAAACGGTTGCAACCGGTGGTTACCTTATGTATGTCAACAACTCTTGTTGGTCTTTTCATCTTTTATCCTCTTCATTCAACGACCTCTCTTACCACACGCACTCCATTTTGACGAGACGTCTCAATACGTCCATTTTGTCTGGTCGCGGTAATAACTTTTGCTCCTTTTTAACAAAAAAAAAGTATACATGCACGGCATGTTATAAACAAGAAAAGAGGCTCATATTCTTACAAGTCTTTTTCTAGAAAAAAAATATTCTTAGAAGTGGGGACTGGGGAATCGAATAAAGTCGTTTGCTAACACCAGAATGATGAACGGAGTACTACTATAAGGCTCAAGGAGTATACAGGGTTGGACATATGCAAGAATTTTCTGCCATTTTTTCTTTATTATTATTCAGTATTCTATCATTACAGTAATTACATGATATACTACTACTGATCACAGCCCGTGTAGATGAACTAATAACTGACAATCTGTCCATCGAAATAAATCCGCTCTAAATACGTATACTAGTGTCTACTACACGTAGATACTGTTACCTCCATCCCAAATTATTTTGATTTTTTTGACCCTAAGTTTGACCACTCATCTTTTAAAAAAAAAAATTGTACAAACGTAGTCAAATTTAAGTCACTCTTGAAGAACTTTTATTAATAAAGTAAGCCACGACAAAAGAAGTAATATTTTACATAAATTTTTTTAATAAGATGAGTGGTCAAACTTTGTATAAAAAAATCAAACGTCTTGTAATTTGGGACGGAGGATAGCTGGCAAGTGTGTTTGTCGAAATCACACCGCCTCCACTGCTAACAGGAGCATCCTACTAGATGCTAGCCGGTGATTCTTCCCCATCTCCGGCGCACGCGCGATCGAGCAGCACTGCAAGAAGGTGGTGATGCAGCCTGCAAGGCTTGGACTGAGCTCGATCACCGGCGTTTGACCAGCGGGAACCACAGGTCCTGGAAGCAGGACTGGTAGGAGACGAGGAGCAGCACGAGGGCGAGCGCGAGCGCCACGCCCCACGGCGACGACGACGCCGCCCCCGCGCCGTCCCGCTGGTGGTGCTGGCCGCCCCATCCGCCGCCGGCGTACAAGGAGGGCTGGTCCCCGACCAGCAGCGACGAGAGGGCGCCGCCCCGTGGCCGCCGCGACCCGGCCGTGGACGCCCAGTACTGGACCGCGAGCAGGAGCAGCAGCGGGGACAGCACGACGGCGAACCGCACCTGCTCCACCAAGCTCTCCACCGCGGACTCGTAGCGCGAGTAGAGCGACGTGGCGCCCAGCAGCGCGACGGTGCCCAGGAACACGAGGAGGTGGAACGGCGTCGCCGAGCCGTCGTCGTAGTAGCCGCCGCTCGCCATGCTAGCTGTTCGATCAGTTGTGTTCGTGCGCGCGCCTGTGGTGTGTCCGTGTGTACCAGTGAGCGTGAGCGTGCCGAGCAGGCTGAGAAGAGAGTGGTATATATGGGCAGATAAGGGGAAGGGGAGTCTGCAGGCACCGAGCTGCGCTTTACTTGGGACGGGAGGACTCCGCGATGCCTTCGCCAAGGGGTGAACGCGACGCGACATGGAGCCAACCGCGCGGGGACGCGTGCCCTGCCGTCGATCAGGCGCCAACGAATGGAGCCGGGCTGGCGGCCGTCACAATGGCTTGGAATTTAGGAAGCGCGGGCGCTGGTGCGGCGCTCTGGTCCACGAGGCGGCAGGCGCCGACCGACCGACGGATGGAACAGGGCGTTCAGGGTGAGTGGTTGATGGCTTGGAAAGCGCTGCTCACACGTCGGCGCGAGCGATTGATTCCCAAGCCTGGCCGGCAGTGGTCGGTCTTGAGAATCACGGGCTCACTGCGGACGTGCGATGCAAAGGATTTCTTGTGCTGACCACTTGGTCCGTCCGCTCGCGCACATTTTGAACCGCTGGATCACTGGCCTTCCTGTTCTGCGTCAGGGCTACTGTAGCCATCCGGGATATCCAGTTGTGTTTTTCGGGGTTTGAGGGATAAACAAAGGGAGTTAGCTCCAAATATCGGACGCTCAGCTCGTACGTCCCGCGCACGATCCAACCGCGATCGTGGGTAACGTCACTGCACCAGCCTTCCCTCCCTATTCGCACACCACCGCACGAGTCCCGACCCATGGGCGCTAGTCACAACCCAACCAGCAACCCAACCAATAGCATGGGAGCCTAGCATGGTCTGCATGTCACACCTCTAGGTCCCAATCACCTATCCCACCTCTGGATGCGTGCCATGGATGCATCTGCCTCGCACGGTCACCCACGGCGAGGCCTCAACAGCTGCAAGCGGCTGCGGCAAGTAGGTCCCATTGCAACATGTGCAACACAAGATCTACTTTTGCAACATACAAATGAAACACTTGCAACATACGTCTGAAACAACTGAAGCACTTGTAACGTACATCTAAAACACTTAAAAACATCTAAAAATAACTTGAAAACACGTGTGAAGCAATTGCAAAACATATGCAACGTTCAGATGAAACAATTGCAACATATGTACGAAACACCTGAAACACTTGAAACATACACTTGCAACATGCATATATATGCAACATCTAAATCTACTTTTGCAGCATCCTGATGAAACACTTGAAACATACGTCTAAAACACATGAAAACACTTGAAACATACAGTTGAAACATACGTGTATAGCCATGGCAACATGTGCAACATCGATATAAAACACTTGCAACATACCTCTGAAACACAAACACTTGAAACATACGGTTGCAACATGCGCTTTCAGCGTAAAACATCTCTTTGCTGCTTCAACGAATGGAGGCTTGTCGACGTGTGGAGGTCACCGGTGTGCTCGCCGGTGGCGCGGAGCTGGGCAGCGGCGCATAGAGGACAGGGTGGGGTGGCATGGGCGGTGGTGGCGTATAGGGCGGGTGGGCGGCGCGTGGAGATCGCCGGTGTGCTCGCCAAGGCACGGACCTTGGTGGCGTAGAGGGCGGGTGGGAGTCGCGATGGACGAGGAGTGGGGAATCGCGGGGTGCATACTCGTCCGTCCATATGGATGCCTTCCATGGGAAGGAATGGAGGTTGGTGGGGATCAGGTGGGAGCAAAGCACAGCAGCGTGGAAGACATGTGGGTGGATGTAGCAGCGCAGGGAGCAAGTAGGGAAAGGAGGATATGCAGCGTCTGACGAGCAAGGAGTGGAGATTTTTTTTATTAACTCGAGAGTGGAAAGTTAACGGTGGATGAGGCGTCGAATGGAAAGATAACCGTCCGGACGCACTAATCCTAACGTTTCCGTAAAATAAAACCCACATCTTACGAATTGCAGCAGGACAAGAGTAATGCAATGTCAAGTGCCATGATGCCAAAAAAAAAAGACTTGTCTGATTTATTTACGCACTTCTCCTATATTTTACCTAAATTTTAAGATGATTTTAGGCAACACTCTTGTACTACCAATTAGTATAACTATCACTTTTGTCGTTTGCTATATGTCTTTGTGTTATAATATATCAAATTTTTATCCTTGTCTGACTATAGAAATAATTATAAATTATTAAATTATCTTTGTGCCAACACATATAAGATTTTGTCAGGTTTGTGGTTTTGCTAACGGGGTTTTTCTATTCTCAGGACCAAAAATTGCATATTGTGTCTATCGAAATCGCAACGGACTAAAACTGCATTCAATATAAAATATATGTAATAATCATCACCTAAAAGAAAACAAAAATCCAGGCACATGAAATTTAGCAAATCCTCTAATTAGGTAGCTGAACTAGTTGCCGGATTTAAAAAAAAACTATCTCAAACTTTGATACCAGAGTACCAGACTAAGCCCGTTGACTATTTTTTTCTTAGGTAGTTTTGCCGACGATATGGTGGGCCCATATGTTAGGTGGTCTCTCTTTCTCCTATATAAAAAAATCATAAATTTCTATATAAAGTCAGATAAATACAAGCTTTATAAAAAAATTAGTGCTCAACGTGATCTAATAATTGACAACTTTCTTATTTGAGATAATATCATATTTTTGAAATTCAAAATTTTGGAATTTTCAAACGTTGATATGGTTAGTACCAAGTTGTAGCTCTCGGTGTGATATATAACTTTTGCTCTTTGAGATCGTGTAGAGGCCCAAATATTCGTTTTAAGTTCAAAGAATTTAAAATTTAATTCAAATGACCTTGGATGTTAACATAGTCTATACCAAAGTTCATCGATAGGGACAAGTCCCTCATCAGCAGCCAGTGGCGGTTTGGGGGGGCAGCCCCCCGTGAGAGTGATTTTGCTTTATATTTACTGTAGAAAAAAAATGTGATTTCACCATTAATCTTCGACATTTGTTCTAAATCTCTATTGATTAGCCCCCCCCCCGAGGTGCTCATCTTGGCTCCGCCACTGCCACAGCAGCCCAAGCTTCTTACTTATATGTGATTATTTTTTCACATGTCTAGACATGCTTTTCATTAAGAGGGGAAGAAGGTACAAGACATCAAAACAATCCTAGCATGCATTCAAAAAATTTGTTTTGCATTAGTAAAAGAATCGTAAGACCAGAGTCACAAGGATCAACAACAAATTTTACAATTAAGTAATTATATGAAAAACAATTCATGAGTAGACAAATATCTCCACACAACCCACCAACTAAAGCGGGCAAAAGGGCTAGAGTGTCATCTGCTGACGACCAAGACGCGTCACAACTGCACATCACGGCTACTTGCAAACCCTCTTGACCAACGTGCAAACCCTCTTGACCAACGGAGATCCGGGCAGGGCTAGAAGGTGACTTGCATTATTATGGAATCTGGCATGTTTTCTTCCACTCGGTCGTATTGAATTTAGAAAACATAAATCATCACTGGGTTATTTTAACAAAAGATAGTCTAGCCAAACGCAATTGACAAGGCAATTAGAAGTATGGCTTTTGTGATAGAAATGAGACAATTAAGCACCTCTTATTTTACTGATGTATGGGATTGATGGTCATTACATAGGCAGTGATGCAGCCATAGGATTGATGGTCATTACCTGCCCAGTTTATTCTCTCTCTTTTTGTTTCGCTGTGTGTTTTTATACAGAGGTCGGAAGTGGATTCAAGATTATTATACAAATATAAACTCGATGTAATGATGTCAAATTAATAAAATCCTTTCTTCACTGGAAAAAAAAAATCAATGGCAGCGTATCTGCATAGTTTATGGTTTATGCTTGACAGATATCAGACATGATGTGCCCCGTCTTCGATGCATACATATTTTGGCTTGCAAAACCCAGGAATTCATGCATGCATACTTTTACCTTGCAGCCTGTAAAATCCCAGTCAGTTCTCGATATATTTGGAGTTGGCTTGCGGAGGAAGGGAAGAGGAACAGTCAAGAGTACGTAACGAATTCGGCAGAATCAACCATAGCTAAGGCCAGAGAACCAGAACGTACTTCAAGGATAGGTTAGTCGCGCCCAGAACGTTGCATTGCATCGTCACATAAAAAGACCAAAAACAAGCATAATTGGTACGTATATGAAGCATAAAAAGTAAGGTCAGGCAGGCAATACACAGTATTGATGATGTTGAAACGAAAGTGTTCTGATACAATAGAACTCACTTCAGGGTATATTCACATTTGTTATCCTTTCAATATCCAAGATCAGGATGAGCAAATACATGTTAGATTTTTAAGTGGGCATCAGAAACCCGTCAGATTTCCAAACACTTGTCCATTGTTTCTTCAAACCCAGATTATGTGCCTGAAGAACCCAAAATGCCGCTCTAGCATCAATAAAAAGCTCTAGGCACAGTCAGGCAAGGCACTACCGGCATACTTATCACGCGGAGAATATACAGAATGAGACACTAATTCATGCTAAGAAACAGAAAAACCGATACGAAAAACTTACATACAGAAAACCCACACCCACGCCAAGCAGATTTTTCATGATTAGATATCATAACTGACGACGTCACGAGCCATCATGTTTGGCCTCCGGATCCTCATGGCCATAACCCTGGGGCTTCTTCAGTTTTGCTACTAGAACCCACATGTTGGCGAGCTCACTTTCCAGGAAGGCTTCCTTCTGCTTTGACTCCTCGACTTTCCTTTGGAGCTCTACTTCTTTTTGCTCCTTCTCCATAAGCATGGTCTCTAGAGCTTTTTCCCTTTCATGGCTTGCATTCGTGTCTCTTCTGCTAGCTGGCTCGTGTCGCCTGCTCATGCTTTCCCTCCTAGCACCTCTTGGTCCATTGCTAACTCTGCGTGGAGCTGGAGTCGGACTTCTCAGCGATGACAACTCGGTCGCAAGCTTCTCATTTTGGTTCATCAGTTTGGTCACTTCTTCTGACAATGCTTTCAATTCAACACCAGCAGCTGAAGCCAAGCCTTTTGCATATGTACTTTCCTCCAGTAGCTTTTGATTGCGATCCTCAAGTTGAGCTTTGATTTCAATGAGTTCAGACACCTTTTGCCTCAGCTCATTGATTTCAACTGACTGAAGACCACAGTGCCAATAAGATGGAAAAGTTAGCTACAAAAAAATAAGAATGAAAATATAAAAATGCTACTCCCTCCGTTTTAAACATATGGCGTTTAAGACAAGTTAATTAGTTCACTTTTCACTAATTAGCTTGGCCTACACGTCCTATACTTACAAACTAGGGGATAGACACTGCAATATAGAATGCAAAATTTTCATATGATATTGGGCCTATTGAACATCACAGATACTAATAACACCAAATAATGTTTTCATAATCTACTATTTGCAAACATGGTAATCGTTTCACTGAAGTGTATGACCACAAAAATGTGGATGAAATACAGCCTATTTCAACAAATTCACCACAGGATAGAAGACAACAGAAATTTTCAGTGAAAAAGTGTTTGCTTCTGTTTTATACCTAAAATAAAATTATAGTTTGAGTAAAGTTCATGGCGGTCCCCGAACTCAGAAAGTGTGTCATTCCGGTCCTTAAACTCTGTTCGGGTCTCATATGCATCCAAACGGGCATGGATCCTTGCCCGTGTACTGAGAAAGAACTTGATTGCTTGAATAGAATATTAGCGGGGGTTTATATATAAAATCGTCCAGACACAAAAGTTAAAGAAATATTTATAAACTTTACAAGGGTTCTTTTGAAAAAGTCGTCTTCTTTCTCATCTCGCCATCACGCAGGCGAGCGAGCACTTGCCGTGGCGCCGTTGCTGTTTGGCCGCGCAGGCGCGTCGCTGCCACAGCTGCTGCCGCACAGGGGCGCAGTCGATCTGCCGCCGCCGCCGCTGCACAGGGGCGCGGGCGAGCTGCCGCTGCACAGGGGCGCAGACGAGCTGCCGCCGCCACTGCTGCACAGGGGCGCGTGGTCAGGGGCGGAGCTAGAGTGGAAACGAGGGGGATGCGCCACTTCAGCACTAAATTGCCATATAAAATGCTATATTAAATATTGATAAAATGTTAGATTTCTCCTATTATTTAAATTAAATATGTGGATATAAATAGTACATTTGACAATATGATACATGACATAATTATGGCCATACGATTTTTGAGAGGCCATTTACTAAACAAAATACTACGTCACTGTTGAATCCCACTCACACATTACAAGTACCTAAACGCAGATAAATCAACATTCAGATGGACTTTTGATATTTTTATAATAGTAACTCAAACAAGTTTTTCTAGATCCTGTGGCTCTAGATACAACCCGGTCCTACATTAAAGTTGCCCACGGAGGCCTTACTTTGGTTGATATCTCTTAATTATGCCTAATCTCTTAGATAATTCACCAAGTGAGCCACATTAACAAGATGGGAATCTACAAAATCAACAAGAATCGCATAATTAAAATCTAATTAGGGTGCTCAATTAGCTTGATGGGCATCGAAAATAATTGAAAATATAATTAATTTTGCTTCCCTTATATTCTGATGAATGATGATTGGTGAGTGAGGAAGATCATGGACTTTTCTCAGATGGCTGCATTTACTGCGGCTGCCGCCAACCAGCGCGGCTGCAAGGGACCATCCTCGGCTTATCAGCAGTGGCCTGATTTTCTGCACTGGAGACTAGAATCGGAATTGGATATTCAAGGCGTGCAAGCGTACAACCATGCATGGAGATGCAGAGAGATCTGTAGTTGGAATCTAGAGATGGCTTCTCTGCGGCTGCAAGCGAAGCAAAATGATTACAGCACTGGGTGCGATGCTTTGGATTTGGGGGGGGTGCAAATGAGGTGGAAAATCAGGATTAACTGGTTTTCACTTTTTTCCTGGGTGCGGCTGCACCCAGGAGTGACAATATGGATCCGCCCGTGCGCGTGGTAGCCGTCGTCGCCGCCGCACACAGGCACGCGCGAGCAAGCAGCCCCCACGGCCGCGCCGGCGAGCCGCCGCTGCTGCCGCCGCGCAGGCGAGCCGCCGCTGCCGCTACCGCACGGGACGAACAACAGCGCGCCGACGAGCTAACTAGGCGCCATGTGTGGGCCGGGACCTCCGACATCGCCGTCGTGCGCGCGCTTGCGCGCTGCGTGGCCACGCACCTGGGCCCATCCGCAGCATGCACGTCACCCGCGTCTCCTTCTGCGCGACGAGTACGAGCTCCGGCGCTTGGTCACGGACCTCACCGACCTCCGCGAGCTTGGACTTTTCCACAGCAGCGTCCGCAACTAATAATTCGAGTCTCGTCATGTTGTACCATGAGCTCCATGTGTTGTCGCTCGGTGGCCGGACATCTCGCATGGCTGGATGCGCAGTCACCTGGGTGCATGGGCTGGACTGCTGGTTCGATCCGCCACAGCTGGTGGAGATCACGGCCACACTCTAGCGATGCGGCCACCGCTTCCTGTGAGTCCTGCGGGGGCCACCTTCGTAGGCATCTGGCGCCGGTACCCCGGACGGGTCGGAGCACCCGACGGACGCGAATCTCGACAAACTGCGCCGTTTGCAGCTGCTGCCACTCGACGAACGTGGCGGACGGTGTCGGCGTTCCTGACGCGCTCCCGGTGCCGTCGAGGCCCAGTAGGTCCCCACGGTGGCCTGGTCCAGCACGGCCGCTCCATGTCGCGGCACGTCTTGGCGGACGCCTCGGTGGTCACCGCGGCATGGAGGAGCAGAGGAACACGGCCCAGAGCAGCGCACGCTTGTTCACCCAGACGACGACGTCCCGGTCCCGGCGGCAGATAAGCGCTGACATGTGGACCTAGACCCGTTTGGATGAATATGAGACCTAAATAGAGTTTAAGGACCGGAATGACACACTTTCTGAGTTTGAGGACCGGGATGATACACTCCTACAAGTTTGAGGACCGGCCATAAACTTTACTCTTATAGTTTTTATAAGCGTGCAGCCACTAAAACTAACAGCAGCCGAGCAGCGTTCATGGAAGTTCGCATATTTAGTGCTAACAAGTCTTTAGTGTTTATGATTAATAATCCTTACATGTATACTTTGAATATTGAGTGTTAATGAAGCCATAATACGGCCTGACCACAGATACAATGGCTAACTGCAAATTCTGTTTTTTTAGTGTAAAGGTACAGATATAAGAAGGGCAGGCCTGGGGAAGTGGTGAGAGCTGTCTCACTAAGTCACCAGGTCATGGGTTCGAAGCAGCCTCTCCGCAGATTTTGCGGGGGGAAGGCTTGCCTCGGTTTTTCCCTTCCCCAGACCCCACTCATGTGGGAGCCTCCGGCACTGGGTCTGCCCTTTTTACAGGTACAGATATAATCCCTTGGATCCAGTTATTAAGGAAGTGGAAGCTAGGGCACAGAAAACAAACCTGCTGCTGTTTTTGCTGTGGTTCAGAAGAGATCTCTCTTGGAACATCTTGATCAGCATGGTGTTCAACTTCATGGTTAACTCTACTATTGTGTATCATGCTATTCGACAACAGATCTTTAGCTTCAAGAGCTTGGGACAGCTGTTCTTTGAGATGAGTAACTTCAGCTTGTAATTCCATGCATTCGCCTATCTGATAGCAGAAGTAATTCAAAGAAGTGTCATAAATTGACCGTAATCATTTCACCATTCATCTAAAACAATCTCGCATATCTAACCTTCTCATTCAGCTGATCTTGTATCACTCTATTATCTGCAGCCTTCACCTGCAATAAGAAATATTTAATGATAACCCAACACCAATCGAATGAAAAGACCAAGAAATATAATTGGATTATTGCAATCACACGTTTTTTTAACAATAAAATAAAATGAAATAAAAGGGTAATTGATGGCCGGACTCAATTCAGAACAATTTGAAAGGTATACTAATTTTCAATTTTGAGAAGGTGAGCCATAGTGATGAAAATTGAGTGTCTTGTATTAATGAAATGTCAGATATGCAAGCATGCAACATGAACATAGTGACAAAATTTCTTCATAAATCTTAAATTGCTTATGGCATGTCAGCAATGTCTCAAAAAAGGTGTTAACTATTGAAATTGGTATGCATTTTTCCTGCTTCTGACCTAAAAAAAATGCATAAGTTTCAGTCCAGAAGTATTTTTGAGCAAGGCAGACTTTATATCAGTACCTCAAGTTCGAAAGATTTCTCATTGAGCTGCTCAAGTAGTTCATGATAAGACTGCAAAAATCAATAAGAACCATCCAATTGTTAAACAGAAATGCTCAGTAAAGAGATAGCATGAAACCAAAACAAATATAGAACATTACCGGTGAAAGCTCTAACTTGTCAACCTTTCCTTGAGTTCCTAATGTTGCATGAGCTATCTCTCTCTCCAAAGATGCTATCTGCTGCTGCTTCCCCTTAATTTCATCGGTCTTCTTCTTCATTTCCATCTTTGAATACCAAAAATGGTAAAAGGTTACAGTATCAAAGAAAGCTTGTAAAAGCACACAACACTAGCTAAGACCATACGAGAGTACCTGAATCTTCTCGTTCTTTGGGCTTCTTCCAGCTTCCTCTGTAAGGCGTTTAAGAGCACTTGTATTAAATGCAACCTCCCCTGACAAAATTTTCAACTGCTCTCTCAACAAATCAACATGGTCCATCGTTTTTCCACTGGCCTGGTACCCCATCACATATTACAGCATGTCAGTAAAGAAATCTATTGAAACCAAAAAAATGCATATATATCTGATCTCATCCTGAACAGGGCAACACTATCTCAATGTTGGCAGTGAGACAATTAACAGTTTAATTTATGAAATCTATAAACTCCTAAGCCAGTCCAGTAACTGCAAAGACTAGGATATGCTGATATCTTAATATTCTAATATAGCTATAAAGAACAGTAAATACTATGGTAGTAGAAAAATTATCCTGACAAATGTGGCATAAATTTAGAACAGTAACTGAGAAGTCACAATAATTGGCCTTTCCAAGACAAAACTATACTTCTGAACATCTTTATTCTTCTCTATAAACTCACTAGTGATACAGCAATTCTTATTCTTGGAACTGCTATGTACCATCTGATTAAAAGAAACATACCAAAGGAGTTTCTTCGCCATGAATGCTGCCAGAAGGAAATTCCGCATGACCAATGCTAAACAGATCAGCTGATACATTCTCACCAGCTAATGAATTTGATATTCTTGGTTCAGCAGGAAAATTGACGCTTTCCCCAATAGGTGTTGAAGGAGCGGTTGATTTAGTCAAACTGGACTTATCACCTTCTGAACTTGTCAGAATAGAAGCTCCATCACGTTTCTGAAAATCAGTGTAGCACATGTATCGATTGTTTTTTAATTTAAAACCAGGAATCAACATAACTTCTATGGAGCGGCCAAAAAGTTGCGTCTATGGAGTATTGACATGCACACAAGCTGCAATGTAGTGCAAAGCTGGCATACCCGGAGTTTGAACCAGTTAAGAAGTCCTTTCCTATTCTTTTTTTCTTCCTTCGAAGAATCTTCAAGTGATACACCAAACCCTTCAACAGGAAGAAGTAATTCATTGCTTTCATTGTCCATCATTATATCTCGTCTTCTATATGGAAGGTATGCCAGCTGCAAAATTAGCAGGCAAACTTTAGCAACTCTAAGTTTGATACAGAAACACTGGTAAGGGATTCATCCATCTATTCCCAAAAGGCATGGACAGAGAAAATTAATACAGAAGTTAGTTGAATGCTCCCCATCATCATTTCGTAAGTATATATAGACAAACCTCCTCTTCCCCAAAAGAATGTCTTCGTCTTGGTCCAGAATGTGGAGAAAATCTGGAAGTCGGAGTCGCCTTAGTAGAAACCAGTATAAGTTTTGTTAAACGCTGGATCCTTGCAAGCAAAGCAGCTTTAGCTTCCTCCTCTTGTTCCAGCCGAGACTGCAGCTTGACATTACCATCTTCTAGCTTTTCATATGTTGGAAAAACAATTGTTAGGAGGATTCGAGGGCACGCTGACAACGCACACATGTGGCATTATATTATTCTTAATCTATACTATGTATACAGCACTTAAAGAAGGCATAAGGCTATCTGAACAAAATTCACTAAAAACACTCCAGTTAATCACATAAGATATATAGTAAATTTCCCCAAAAACGAAATAATTATGCCCAGCATGATGCCAGAAGCAGATGTTAAACTGAAATAAAACAACATAGCACCTTTTGCTTCCAAAGGATGATATTATCTTCCTCGGTATCTTTCGACGGTGTGCCGGTAATAATACCCATTTTCAGCTGCTCTAGCTCTTCCTTCAATCTCCGAATCTCAGTTTGGTACTTCTTTATTAAAGATTTTTCATCTATAATCTGCAAAACAGAAAAACAGATAAGGAGCATATATATCAGAAAAAACTGACATCAGGGATAAAATACAACCTAATAATAATTATCAAGTAAATGTCAGGCCTACTTTGTTTTGAGATGCTTGGATCTCAATGCGCTTCGCACGGTGGGCAAATTTTAGTGTATTATGGGTCTCTTCAGAATTACTTGATGCTGGTGTCACTGTGCAAATCAGCTGCGAAAAAAAAAAAAACAGTTATGAAAATATCCTGATAATATTAGCAATTAGTATCCGCCATGCAATGAGCAACTTACTGAAACACGTCCTTGACCACTGAGGGATGACTGAAGTAGTCGTGTTAATTTTGAATCTCGAAATGGAATATGTGTAGCCTTTCCATCAGTCAGTTTTGATATCACCTGAAATGGGAAAACATGAGCTAGAGCTGACATGCAAAATAAAAGGAGCATTGTTTAACCAGATTCTTGAAGGTAAAAGGGATAATAGGCAATCTTCTTTCATCCAACTTGATTGAAAAAACATTTGCCCATGAAGTTAATATTTAACACATCATGTGATTTACTGAATCAACGGTGCCAGCAAAGTAAATAAACAGGGCCACACATCCATATGGAGGTTTCCAATATTTCAAATGGATTTCATTATGTGAACATTTTAAATTTACGCACAAGTATTCATAGCCAGCGCTTTGACACCTGAATAGCACCTCTAGTTCCTAGGTTCAACCTCCAGTGGGAGCGAATCTTACATTTCAAAATTATCCATCTGAATTGAACTCATGAAAATCAAGTCAATCTGTGACATGTTGGACCATGATTGGTAGAATGGATAAAACATGAAAGTGGTAAGGGTCGGATTCAAAATATTGTGATACACAACTAAAATGATGTGTATTATTAGTGAATCCTACCGTTCCAAGAGTTAGCAAGCTTTTGTTGATATAACATCCTTCTTTCCGCCGTACTCCAGTTGTTTCTGCCCTTGAGCTCTCTGAACCTGCCAGATCGATGAGGTTCTGCAAATGAGTGACACAATTAAAGAATCAATTTATGCTCTGGCTGCAAGTATCAAGAGACGCCGGATGCAAAACAAAAGAAAATACACAAATCTACACTAGTATATGTAACTACAAGCTAAGGTGGTCATCAACGGTAACAAATAGCAGGAGAGAAACCCACCAGCTGTGAGAAAGTGACAGCTTCCCCTTCATTAGACTCACCACAAGGGCTGCTCTCTATAGTCTGTCACATAATAAAATGAATCCATAAGCATCATGTTCAGCTCTTTCAATTAAAGCATGCTACAATTGATTATTGAGTTGCATACACCAATCAGTTTAACCCAAAAGATTAAGCTGATGGGAAATGGTGGATAATTCACTTGTACTTCAATACTCCACCTCACATGCAGGCGCCCTCAAGCCTCAAACGTGGAAACAGGAGTGAGCAACAAATATTTTATTTAATTGCAATAGCCAAGATTTGAACTCAAGACCTCTGGCTCTGAACCATATTAAATTGCATGCACGAACCAGTTCGGCAATTCACTTATATTTCAACAGTAATGACTTGCAATGTGCCAATGCAAAACCAAATATGAGATCTTTGCTCTTCAAATAGCGGATAGACAAAAACTATTCTGCACATATGTGCTGCCTCATTACCAAAGTAAAAATAGTATGACTTCTGCTACTGAGTACATTGAAGTTAGTGGATCCAACATGCCTATGCTCTGCAATCAGAATGGACACAACAAATTAGTATTTAGTAAATATATGCTGACAACTCAGTGGAACAAAATAATAGAATGGTAGCAAGTTAAGAACTACGGGCACTACATTTACAAGATTAGCTACCTACCATCAGAAGTTTAGAGGTTAATTGAAACTTGGAAATGCACTAGAATAAGTAGTAGCATAATTATTTCATTTTAGATTTATTCTATGTATTAGGGGTAATTGCCCTTAAAGCCTTAATTTAGAATTTAGAGATAAGTTCCTTAGGAGTCAAGTCAAATCGTTTCTATAAGAGGGATAGCATTGCATCCATTCAAACCAAGCAAGAAATAATGACTAGTCCATCTCATGACACCGCCCACACCCATGCTACCACTATGGTCCAACTCCACATACGCTCTAATTCCAATATAACTACTAACAGTAGATTTTTTGTTTTGTTAACCGTTAAAGGAGGTGGCGTGGTTAGAAGCTGGAGGAGACCATTACATTAAGGAGCCTGAGTTCAGAACCAAAACAACGTTTAGCAGATGAAGCGGACAGAAAGATAGCGAGTGGACAGAACAGGCTAAGGAAAGAGTGAAAGACTGACAGACCTAACCCACTGGAAACCTGGTCACTGTTTAGAAGTCTTATAATCAGGAGTGTTGCTAACTTGCTATATGTGCAACATGTTTCTACCACTCCTTCACAAATCACAACCAGGAGACCAAATGGCCAATCGCTTGGATGCTGACTCATATCAGTCAAAGGGTCCAAACAACTTCTTGTACTGGAATCGTACAAATTAGTTGTATGTGAAGTATTTCCATATTAGTAACATCTTGCTAACATATATTATTTACAATGGCAAACAAGAGGCTCCTTTAGAGTGCCATTTCGCTCACTACACTACTCAACGATTTTTCACCTTTCTAGAGTCTTTACAAAGGTACGCTCAGTCAGTTTCAGAGCTTTCCAGGAGCCTTTTTTCAGGAACTTGGAAGGAAATTTCCTCCTAACGTCACACTTTCAGTAGTTTAGTGTCATGCTGCGAGACCATTTTTCACATGAAAGTTTAGACCTATCATGAAGATCAATTCTGAAACAGAATCATGTGAAGACATTGTTGGAAATCACCTTCTCCAGCTGCAATAAGGGACAGGGCATGTGCAGGAGATAATACTACTTCCTCCTTGATACCTTCAACAAATGTTCCCTGAGAATGTTAATGCAGACCAAGGAACTATCAGAAAACTGTGCAAAACAATACATTGCATCCATCATAAATGCTAGGCAATTTTGGGGGTAGATTTTAATTATTCTGCCAGTTGGAACTCTTCACAAAAAGGATTATGTTTTCAAGGATCCCTGTTCTAGACTTCAAGGGAAGAATGTACTGTAACATTTAACCTACAAGTATACAAATTTTAAGACACCACAAAATACATGTTTTCAGTATTAAGTTGAAAGACACTATGAATGTGAAACAGCAACTGGCAACCTTTGGATGGCACTACAATGCAGGTATAAATTTTCAGAAAAAAAAGGCAATAATCATCCACCAGAGAAATCATTTGTTTGTTAGTTTGAAAACTTAGCCACTAGAAAGAGTAAGACTAATGACGAGAGAGTGCATATATTAGCACCTGAGGATCCTCTCTAATTCGCAAATTCTGACCAGCAGGATTTAGTAGATCATTGACAACCTACAAAACCAATAAGCCCTTGATTAGAACCATTCATTTTGTGATATAAACTCTGATTAAGAGTATGTTTATACAACAAGCAGAGGTACCTCCAATAACAAATATTATGATGATAACAAAAATGATTACGGTGACAAATTACGGTGACAAACCTCATTATAAATTTCCAAGTATGACACGCGAAAGAGAAACTCGCGATTTGGTGTCTACAAAGACAAAGAAAGCAATGGCAAGTGCACAGAGCATTGTCATCATCATTTCGACGCATATTTCATCATATCATAATACAAGATGGGTGTGTATTTAAAAAATACCTCTTGTATAATGCTAAATGCATCTTTGACAGCCAAAGGTATAATCCCTGGGGATCTTTGGTCTCCCTGGCCCAAAAGAACAAATATATCAAGATACTAAGAAACATTTCAAAATATGAAGAAACGGATGAATGTGTTCAATATTAATCCAGTCAATTATAAAAAATGGAAAATAAATGCTGGCGTGAACATAATAGAAAGGAAAGTTGCAAATCATATGCTTCAAAGAACATAATAGAAAGGAAGTTGCATTTTCTTTTCTCGGACTAAGACAGGAGAGCTGTGTGTCATACTTTCATTCCATTAAGTAGAGGAAAGTTGCATATGGTCATGCATGACAGTAGTAGAATTTAGGGAGTGGAGCAATTTCATTTCCTCTCCTCTTTATGGGGATGAGAGACTTGGTATAGGAATACACAAACCTTAGGTAACTGTATGGGACAGAAAACCTACACCACAAGCTGCGATCACATTTTAGCTACTCACGATATTTATTTCTGAATTCACGTTGTGCACTACACAGTCCAACAGCAATAGATTAAGAATGAGATAACTAGTGTTTTTAAGACAAAAAACAAAAATATGAAAGTTTGAAGTATTATAAGTTCTCTCACATGCATCGTGTGTGTCTTCCCACTGCTTGTAACACCATATGCAAATATTGTACCTGCAACAGTATGGAAGAAGTTTATCAACTTTTATTTCAGAGAATTGATTAAAGATACATGTGTCCAATCAAGCCAAGAATCCGTTGTTGCATTTAATGAATGAACATGAGAGGATTAAACCCAACTGTAAATGTTGTAAAGATAAATAGAAGATACTCCCTCCATTCTAAATTATAAGATGTTTTGGCATTTCTAGATGCATATGTTTTGCTACGCACTTAGATATACACTATGTCTAGATACATAATAAAAGTAATGTATCTAGAAAAGACAAAACGTCTTATAATTTGGAACGGAGGAAGTAGCTTATACTGCAACAGAATATTTGAAAATGAAAAAGAAAAATGTTGCCCTGATCTAAGTTATAAGACACTGAAGAAAATATAAGCACAAAAACAAAATATATTTACCATTTACTCCCTCCATGGCACCGCTAACAACATGTTGAGCTGCAACATCATATACATGACGGGTCGTAGTAGTTGGTGCAAAAACCCGATCTGGACAACAAATAATATTAGCCTGTATTCAGAATTAGAGTTAAAGAGGTGGCAAATTGGTAGCCTAAGAAATGTGCATACTTTCCTGGTACTCAAGCCCGGATAATAATTTCTACTTGCTGCATGCGGCAATGCAACATGATTCTATTAACTGACTTATATTATAGGAGAAATGTGACACCAATGCTACAAAGTTTTTGATTCATAGTTTTGAATAAGTAATTTTAGGGCCCATACCTAGAAATGGCAAAATTGATTCCTACAAAAAAATTAATATTGTAATTTGGAGGTCCTAAGTGACATTGTCCATTTCAATTGTTTTTGGAGACTACAGTGACATAACTATGTAGCACCCAGATGCCTCACAAGCTAAAAGGTAAGTGTAAACATTAAGGTACATTGAAATATGAATAAAACAAGTTGGACTTCTATGAGATGAACTATTTTTTCCTTAGCCTGAGTACAACCACAAGTTATGACCTAGTCACAATCATATGGAATATGATAAAGCAAAGGAGCCCAAGGCACGTAATTCATTCCCCAGTGCATTGGATGACAAAACTACCATGTCCCAATTTGAGTTTCTCACAAATTGATCATCCGTTGTACAACAGGCATTCTATCGATATCAAGAGGAAATCAAACACTTCAAGAAAACTACACAGTTGCTCAAATTTTGAGGCAATGGTTTCCATTGCATGCCAACAAAATGTCACAGAGCTCAATTCTCCAGATGGATACGGCAAGCTATTTTCAGTCTTTCCTACGAATGTGCTGAATTACAATAATCTCCAAACCTCACCGAAATGGCTCCTGCCTATTTGTAAAACTGATAGGCGATTAAAAGGCAGGTTGCATATGCCCACAATGAATCTATGCAGTCATTGACTAAAATAAGGACTAAGGGGTACACAAGTGCCAGAGTAATCCAACTATCCAACCACAAATGAGACGCCAAAACCGCACCCATACCGTAAGCGTAGGCGACGCTGGGGTTCTGCTCACTCCGAACAACCGTGTCACCATCCGCATACCACGCGACCTCCTCCCCCTGCCGAATCTCCCGTGGGCTTCACAAGCGACGACCAAAACCCCAAATCAGTCCACATTTCGCGAATCCAACCGCAACCAAACCAAGCACCGCTCCAGAATCCAGAGCGAACTGAACCTGAGCGGGCGGAAGCGGACAGTGACGGTGACATTCTCCTTGGGCGTTGGGTCCTCGTCCAACCCGGCGAACAGCGGGGACACGGGTCCGTCGAGCGAGAGCTCCGGCGTGAGCCGCGACGAGGACGTGGTCGTGGTGGTAGTCGACGTCGGCGAGCCCGACTGCGGCAGCTGCTGCTGATGCGGACCCTTCGGTCCCGCCGCCGCCGATGAGTGCCCCGCCCTCCGCTGCCGCGACGCCGGCCGCGTCGCCATTGCCCGCACGGCGCGAGATCTAGCAGCACGAGGCACCCGCCATTGGATCCGGTCGCTTTACGCGGGTTTCTCCTAGGGCTTCTCTCCCCCTTTCCGGTTGGGTCACACGCTCGTGGGGTGGCTGTCGCTTCCCCTTTTTTGCTTCCGTAGGCCAACTCCCCTTCTTTTTCCGTTCGCCAACTGGGTAGCGGAGGGAGCGGGACGGGGGGCGTGGGCGCAAACGGGGCGGCGACGCCGACGTGCGGGACCCGACGCTGACAGGTCAACACACTGGTTAATAGGCGTTGACTACGCGAAGTCGATGGAGTTCAGCAATTATTATGTGCCTGCCGCTTGCTAGTTTTGCTTGCAGTTGCAGGCGCTTTATTTAGACTTTATTAGAGGCTGAGGAAAATCGTTCGTCTTTAAAATGGTTTAGTTGAGTTGCTAACTTGATGGTGTTATTAATCAATCAATCAGTTGTAGTACTGCTTTTTAGTATTAAAAGAAGAACCTGTAGCGAGTTCAGTCGCTGGAAATGAAAAGTGCACTGTGTGTTTGGTTCGCTTGTGATTGGAGTAAAGTCCCGTTCGTCTTTAGGGAGCGTCTATTTGAGCTGTAGCTTTTGGTTTTTTATTTAAAAACTAGCTTTCTAGCTTTTGTCTCCGCCTATTAGTTTTTTTTATTTATGTTTATAATATTTTTTAGCTTCTTGGTATATCAAAAGCAAAAAAAAGTTATCCAAAATATATTTTCAGTTTTTAGTTTATTTTCTTACCAGATAGTTTTCTAGTTTTTTTCAAAAAAGTAGCTCAACAACTATGATTCTTTGTTTCAGTTTCTAGCTTTTGTGAAATAAACATGCCCTTAAATTATTTTTTTTATAGAAGAAAACACTGCTTTCATATAAAGCAATCAAGTGTAAACAAGTTTACGCACACCAACACCACCGCTAGAGACACCAGCTTACAGGTAAGACAAAACCCTGGTTCAAATCAAACCAGAGAACAATGCAGCAACACTATTGCCAAAACAAAGAGCTAAAGGCTCAATCTAAATCACCACAAAAAGACCTTCAACTTCTATATATTCTTAGTTTGCTTTCTGAAAGATTCCAGCCAGCTTCATTGATTTGATCTAGTAGTCAAAATATCTGGTGTCACCTTCCTTTGCCATTTCTGTAAGAAAGAGAAGATTTTGTGGAAAATCTCATTGCATTGGAAGATCTCATTTTATTATGAAGGTTCCATGAGGTCAACAAAATAATAAAAAAACATGAAGAATTTTATATGGTAATCTCTAATTTATAAAGAAAAATCCAATATTCAAAGACTTCCCGCAAACTACCAACACTAGTACCAAATTCAATAGCTGGAAATGGACGATGCTCTTTTTTTTTTTTTTTTTTTCTTGTGATTGGATTAAAGCCCCATTTGATGGTGCTTGCTCTGGCTTCGTCGGTAGCTTTGGCACCAGAGCCAAACGAGCCACACCAAGCGCAGAGGAGGAACAGTTCTGGGTGTCAAATAGAGGAACTAAAGCCGTTTTGCCATGGATGAGCTACATTTTGCTTCGTTTCGGTAGAAGAGCGGGTGCGCACATCGACCATCCCACACAGCACTAGGATGAGTTTTTTCCATGAAAAAATGGAGTAAGAATCTTTGTTACTTAGTATTCTTCATTCCAAACTATATAAGACGTTTTGATTTTTAAAAGTTAAAATGTTTTATAATTTGCAATTGAAAGAGTACTAGCTTAGTAAACACTTTAGGGCGAAGTAATATTCAGTGGATCGCTAAGATCTTCTGACACGTTGACACTTCCATAAAAATAAACGCTACTCCTCGCGAATCTGACTTCGTGTCGCTATCCCTTCATTGAGCCAAAAGCCCCGGGCGCACTGACCTGACCAGCGACAAACGAATGCGTCCCTTGCCACGCCACGCTACACGGCAGCTTAAAATATGCAAATTGCCGGCGTCTGTGAAAACGGACACACCAGCAAATAAACAGTTACCAAATCACGTCTACGTCTGCCTCCACAGGATGGGATGGGATGGGATGGGACAGGATGGGATGGGATGCGATGCGAAGCATGCGCGACAGGTGAGTCGGGCGTTGCCAGGCGCTACGGATCGATCTCCTGTCGCCATCTGCGTCGTCGCCGTGCTCCGCCTGCGACGTGCGGAGCCGGCCAGGCAGGGGCGCCCGGGGCCCCGAGCCGCTGCCGAGCGGGGGCGGATCCGCACACCGCACTGCCCGGTCCGCGCCAGCGACAGCACACGGCTCGGCGGGGAAAGCCACAGCCACCGCCGCATGCAGCGGCCGCGTCGGGGCCCGCGGGATCCGCGCGGTCGTTTTCCAACAGCGATGCGCCTCGGCCGCTTCCTCCCTTCCTTCCCGGGGCGCCGGGACCGCGCGCCCGCCCCGCGCGCCAAGCGCCACACGAGCCGAACCATGCGTCCATACCATACGGCGGCATCTCACTCGCGGACGCGCCCTCGGGAGCACTCGTGAGTCGTGGCCGGTGCGCGTGCGGGGCATGTCTGCGCGCAGAACGTCCTGGGAGAGGGAGAGGCCGAGGAGGGACAGCCACAGCCGGGAGTGGGTTATGCCTGCCCTGTAGAGATCTCACTTTGGAGGGACGTCGGACGTTGTAGGTGGGATATGTATGCCGGTGCTTGGCACTGTGGTTCCGGTGTGTGGGCTGACCGACACGAGTGGGCAGTGCTGCCGAGTGAAGCTGTGCTCACTGCTCAGCTGCATGTGGACTTACGGCCTATTCGTTTCGGCTGAATTGACTTATAAGCCATGACTGAAAGTACTGCTGACTGATTTGGTGTGAGAGAAAAACACTGTTCGAGGCGTGGATTATAAGTCAGATACGAGCGAATAAGCCGAAACGAAGAGGATGTTACACGATACGAGAGCCACATGCTGCATTTGGCCCCTGTTGACTAGTGGACAAAGGCAAAAAAACGCCAATTTGAGCGGTCAGGGTACTAGTTTCGTTGCTCCTTGCTCGGCACATGACTCCGAGCCTTGGAAGTTGGCAAAGCCCGTGAGTATTTACTGTTATATACAGCCATATATACAGATGGCGTACCATGTGTATAAAGGAAAACGGACTGCTCAAAGTAAAGCTGCTTTTTTACTTTTAGCGTCAATCTCCTCATTTTCATCCATTTAATTTCGTCTTGCATGTTGTTGTGATGATAATATCCCATGGATTCTTGTTGATGGCAATGAGTGAACGTACGCGTGGCCGGCTAAGGCGTGTGCACTTTACATAGATTGCATGATTTTCCAGGTGGACCATTCAGGTTCGTACATTCTTTTTTTTTAGAACAGGTTCGTACATTCTTAATGGTGAATTGTCTGCGTTGTAGTATTCCACTGACGCGAGCGCAGCTTTGGAAACAAGTTCAGTAGGACAGGCCTCCAGTTATCCATTTCTCTTTCCTTTCAAGTACGCAGCAGAAGAGAAGTTTCAGAGTTTTTTTTTTTAAATTCTATAGTCGCATCTAATGAGCTAGACTTGACACCTGATTAATTATATGATAACTGCTCCCAAGGCGGAGAGAGGATTTCACAGTTGGGTACAAAATAATAAGCAAAAAAAAAAACCGAATGAAAATGTACAATAGCAAAAACATAGGTATTCCATGGAATACAGGGGAATACCTCCGGTGCCGCCCATTAACTACTCATCCACGACGGTTACTCTCACTGCTTGTCGTCCGAAATTATCGAGCATCTGCCCGATTCCTACCGTGATGAAAAAGGGGGCTTCACCGAAAAGCCTTTCCAACATTTGAAGGAACGATTTAAAAGTAACTATCAGTCTATCACAAGCAGAAAAACAGGCCATTGTGGAAGTTGTGGAACAGGCGATCTCAATATATGATATGGCTTGTTTTGAGCTAACAAAGAGACAATGACCTTATGTGAGCAAGTGAGCTCAAAGATTTGTCGGTATTAGTGGGATCAACTAGACGGAGATAAGATGCATTGGTTCATCCTCGGATACAGTGAAGCAACTGAAAGGCCTTGGGTTAAGAGATTCACATGCTTTTAACAGCCCCGGCAATAGATGGGATGTCTTTCTACATGGTGGAGTGTGTATAGATGTATCCAACTTCTAAAAAAGGGGATTATTTGGCGTATCAATGACGATGAATCAGTGGACATTTGGGAATTGGGAAGATCCTTGTCTACCACACGTCCACACAGGATTACTCTCCGACCATGTCCAGTCACGGGTAACTATTTACTGACAATGGTGAAGGAACTAATTCATCCTGTTACCGGTGGATGGGATTTTGACTTGGTGCAGCAAAGATTCCATGCTGATGGTGTAAAGATCCTTGTTTCAGTCATCCTAGTGCATGATAACATGGAAGACATTATAGCCTGACACTTCGATTCCAAAGGACAGTTCTGTGTTAGATCGGCCTGATGATTTGATTCTGTCGCTTGACAGGCAGCTGTCGCCTAGACTAGGAATCAAACCAAGGCTGCAACCAAACACATCATAGGCAAACACAGGCAATTTCTTCCAGGGCTTGAACCAAACAAGCTCTACATGCAAACTTTACACGGTCTGTGATGGGTGAACTTCTGGCAGAGGATCACCGAAACGAAATGGCGTTGTCCTATGCGTTAGCAGCCGTACTGTCACCAAATAAAGGAAGTGTTACACACTTACACTACTCGTAGATGTGGAGCATACCTGAGGTGATGCAGCAACAACAACAACTGACCACTATCTTTGGGGTGACTCTGGTTGGAGAGAAGAGGCCAATGGTGAAGACAACATGAAGCTGTCAGCACAGGCCTGCTGCATGATTCAAAGATATTTGGAGCGAAATTTTCGGTTTTGGCGTAAACCGGAGGACTACCTGAAGATCAATGTTGATGGCCCTTCTCTGAAGATTCATGATCCGGGGGCTTGGATTCACTGTCGGGGACCATTCGGGTGAGGCCCTACTGCCCTAGCCTATCCAATACTAGATGATGTG